CTAAGGTGGTTCCCTGTCGCCCCTCTGGGTCAGCACTCTTGACTCGTCGAACTCCCTCCGGTTAGCATGGTCACTGACTGTGTATTTAGGCGTTGCACATGCCGCGGTAAATGACGACATCTACGAAGGCTACTATATTCCAAAAGGCCAGTCTATGTACTGAGAGACCTATCCCTCTTCTAAAACTGTTTCTTAAGGGGCTACTGTAATACCCAACGCATGGTCATTCGTTATATCAAGTAAACAAAGATCACACATAATTATTTCTTCTTATGCAGGTTTATGGCGCGCAATCCAGATAAATATCCTAACCCGACGAGGTTCATACCCGAGCGTCACATGTCAAAAGTCGCTGTCGAAGAGCCATCAACACACGGCCCTGCCAGTGATGACATTTCCTTTGTTTTTGGATTTGGAAGGCGTATTTGGTACGAAGTTTGGATTTTTACGGACAGACGGGGTTGCCTCACCTTTCAACAGTGTTGGACGACATGTTGCCGATGCTTCTTTATTCGCCGCAGTTGTGAATATTCTAACTGTTTTCCGGTTGGAACGTGCGCCAGAATGGAATGTCGGGCCTGATGCTGAAGGAGTGAAATGGACGGGAGGCTTAACGACGTGAGTCATCCTTGAGGATCCCCACAGTTTATCTGAGGCAGCCGATGCAGGCACCCTGTATTCCCGTGCATATTCACCCCTCGCCATACGAAGGAAAGGGTATCGCAGTTGATAAAAATGCAATGCTAAGAGCTGTGCGGATATGGTTCTGAGGTGAAATCATGGAGGCCTGCGACCTGCCAAATAGAGGTTCAATGTCAGGCGAGTCCGTTGCATCTTGTGCACACAAGGATCTGGGAGTCTGTTGGATGGAGAAGTGATATTGCAGTAAGCTATATACATGCGTTCGAAGGAGTAACGCGGTGATAAGCCGGAGTAGCTGCTAAATACGAAAAACAACGGTATTCATGCAAGATCATCAGACAGTCAGATTTGAGCGCTAGAAAGCACGGACTGCTCGACTTGATGCGATGGGATATATTCTGGAAGCTGCGAAGACAAGAGTCGAACGCATGTATGCACTGCAGATGTGCATACTATCGAGGACAGCGGGTATGACAATAGGGTGGGTGCATTACGGTGATGGAGGCGTGGGCACGAACAGCCTTAGATGTCCTGGGCGTCTATTGAATGAGGCAAGCTGTGAAGCACCATAACACGCACCATACACCCTCCATGCAGCTTAGAGAAAGACATAATCCCTCCAAAGTTTAGCCTCGTCCGTATTTCATACCATCAACATCCAGTAAAATGTCGGAGCTCATTACAATCACCACTCCCCTGCGATTGTTCGAAGGCCATGAAGACCGCATAAATGCAGTCGCAGTTTTCCCTGATAAACGTCGGATGGTTACGGGCTCGCACGACAAGACGGACTTGAAGACAGGTGTTGTGTTGAAGAAGATGGAGGGGCACCGCGATTATGTGTGGAGATTGGTGGTATCACGAGATGGGCAATTGATAGCAAGCGGTGATAATTGTGGAGAGGTCATCGTCTGGCACGGAGAAACTGGCGAATTACTCACCAAAATCGAAGCACACTCCAAATTTATCTCCTCGCTGGATTTTTCTCCCAATGAAACAATGCTGGCCACTGCAGCTGGTTCATTTCCCGAAAGAATGACGAAACTGTGGAATACCAAAACCTGGCAGCTGCAAGGAAATCCGATCGAGTGTGGTATTTTGGTCAATTGCGTACGGTATTCACCGTCTGGAGAACTTCTTGCCATCGCAACAAACTATCATATTGAAATTTACAATTCAGGCACGAGGAAATGCGTCACATCATTAAAGGGTCACACGTCATACAACTTGTCACTCGCGTGGATGCCCGATGGCACACGCCTTCTCACAGGCGGCAGTGAAAGCGATCCTACTATACGCGAATGGGATACAACAACCTGGAAGCAGGTCGGTGATCCTTGGACAGGTCGCACTGATAATATCCATTACATTGCCATTCATCCTGCTGGCACACTCGTTGCATCCGCATCTAGTGACAACCATGTTCGTCTCTGGCAGCTCTCAGATCGACAAACCATTGCCGTCTTCAAGTACCCATCCTACATGACATGCATCACTTTCTCCGTGGAGGGCAATCACATCTTCAGTGGAGGTAACAATAAGAGGATCTCAGAGTGGGCAGTACCTCGAGGTATACATCCAAAGGCACGTTTCGGTCTCTGACTCATATACCACAATTAGAGCATGTTTTGTGCAGATCCTAGCCATCACGACCTCCCGTATTGCATGTCTAAATGGAGACTTATCTACCGCCGAAAAACTACTCACTCAAGATATCAACACCAGTCCGAACAACCATACTTCCTATGCCCATCGGTCATTCGTCATGGCGCGAAAATACGACTGGGACCGCGCCCTTCTGGACGCAATCAAGGTGAGAATCATCGCCGCCTTATACAGGGCTAACTCGATGGTGACATAGTCCATCAGGATTCGGCCCTCATTGACGGGCTATATCTCCAAGGGTATTGCCCTCTGTGGAAAAGGCCGCGTCCTGGATGCGAGGGCAGCATTTGATGTTGCATCAATGTATACGAACCAGGATTCAGAAATCCTTCATTTTCTGCTATTGATCAAAGTATGTCACATTTACTTCGCATACTCTTCCCTTCATCGCGTATTTCAGGCCATCGCGCTCTTCAATGCAGATCAACATGACGAGGCAAACCTGCTCCTCAAAGAGCTCGCTGCCGGTTGTCCGAATGCCGACACTCTCGCATGTGGTATCGTGCAAGTAAGTATCATCCACGCTTGGTCATCTGCATCAACACTCATATTTACAACTCGCACATTAGGCATATCTACACGTTCAACTCGGAATCAAAGCCTTGGATGGCGCACGCTACGACAAAGCTGCTGACTATTTCACTGCCGCTCTCGACTCTCACGATTCATCATCCAAATCGAACATTCATGAAATATATGAGGATTTGATGGTGGTACGTCAAGATGATACATGTATAACGCTTTTAATAACTGAATCTCTTGTCCAGCTCTTTGGCTGGGACCTGAACTCGTTGTGGTGAAAGGCACACCATAAACGCTGTGATGCACTGCTTCAGGCGGGTAAACTCCAAGATACCGTGAAATCATACCAACACATGATGACTTCCAGTGACGAAATCACCAAAGCCGACTGCCTTGATTGGTCCAATGGCGAGTCTAGAGCCAGTAATGTCGCGCAGGCTACAATCTTCACATGTATTCTTCTCAGATTTCAAACGGCAATGCAGCGCACTCTGCGCTGCCAACGGGGATGCCGCCTTCGCTGCAAGCGATTATGACAAGGCTATTGACCTATACTCGACGGCGATCGACCTGGATTCTGCATCTGATATCTTCTTTGCAGGTCGCAGCGAGGCAAAGTTAAGTAAAATGCTATGGGAGGATGCGCTCCTCGACGCGCGAAAGGTGCGATGGCACCCACGTTTTCGTAACCCATGTTGACTTAGGCGATGCATAGGTCATCGAACTCAATCCTTCGTCTCATGTTGGATACCAGTTGTCACACTCAGCGCTGCGTGGCACGCGACGTTACGATGAAGCCATCGAGGCCTTCACACTCATGTTGTCCAAGTTGGACGATGCTCCAGAAGTGCAGATACGAGGTGAGACATGGAACACTCCTGTATCGTCTCAAAATACCTATATCATTCTGCAGATCTGCGTCAGCAGTACGTTTGTCCATCGGAAGCGGCAGACGCTATTCGAAGAGCGGTTTCGATTGAACTCAGCAACACCCCCCTTCGTCTACTCAACACCTCTACGGGTCTTTTGTGCGACCGAGCAGCACAGCTGAACTTCTTCAAAACAAGTCCAGAATACAAGGAGCTTTTGTCATCCATAACGAAGCGTTTGGATCTCGAAATGGAACGCATTGAGGAGGTGGTGGCGATGCACTTCCGTTGCCTTTTGCTATCACACAGGTGGGAAGAGACGGAGGCGCTGCTGCACCACATCCAGGACAAAGCGGTGTACGAGCTGAATGGACTCAATGGCACCGCGAAGCTGCAGTCGTTCTGCAAAATCGCTCGTGATGCGGGGTATTTTTGGGCGTGGATGGATACATGCTGCATCGATAAGAGCAACAACGTCGAGCTTCAAGAATCGGTCAATTCAATGTTCGTCTGGTACCGTCACTCAGCGCTCACCATAGTCTACCTATCCGATGTTCCTCCTTCATCCCCGTCCGGCGCACTGGCGAGTAGTGTTTGGAACGAACGAGGATGGACCTTTCAAGAATTCGTCGCTCCGAAAGTCGTTATATTTTATCGGAAGGACTGGTCATTATATCTGGACGATCGCTCTCCCAATCACAAAGAATCCCCAGCAATCATGAAGGAGTTGGAGGATGCGACGGGAATAGATACACAGACCCTGATCTCCTTCCGTCCAGGGATGAGAGACGCTAGAGAGAAGCTCCGATGGGCATCAAAACGTGTCACCACGATGCAGGAAGACATCGCGTACTCGTTGTTTGGTATCTTCGGCGTCCACCTGCCTGTAATCTATGGCGAGAAGAAGCAAAATGCGCTCGGACGGCTCCTACAGGAGATCGTGGCTAGATCGGGCGACATCAGTTCCCTGGACTGGGTCGGACAATCGTCCGAGTTCAATAGTTGCCTTCCAGCCGACATCATCTCATATGCGGCCCCGCCATGCTCCCTACCATCATTGTCTGAAGATGACATTCAGACAGCGGTCTCTTCGTTGCGAAATGTGCCCATAGATTTAGCTTCAAAGTTGTATAACATGCTCGAGAACATGAACGCTCTCCTCTTCGCCAACTGCAGACTGCGTCTGCCTTGCATCGCATTTCGTGTCACGGAGGTCAAACGAAGGCGGGGTCTCGCTGCTCATTCCACGTATGGAGTGAAAGCAGACGGGCTTCAAGACTTGCTTATCACCACGGACCAGACCCTAATTCAATTCTCGCGCACAAGGCCCACTCAGCAGACATTCTTTCTTGTCCGTCCATGGGACCGTCGTCTCCTTGGGCTGCCTGATTTTTCAGAGCAGCTCACCTTTACAGGCGAAGGGGAGAGCGTAAGGGATTGGTCCGAGTCCCAGTCTGAATTGAACGACACTGACGAGCGGTCTAGCAACCCACCTGGAGAAGAGGAGTTGTCTATTGACTCGGATGTTCACTCACGATCATTGCGTTTGATGGTTCACCTTGGGCAGGCTTTCAGCGCACTTTTGGTAGCGCAGCAACGCGTTGGAGAATACAAGAGGGTCGCGTCGGACCATAATATCATTGCGCAGGTGAAAGACCCGGCTTCGATTGACATTATGAACATCAAGACCCTAGACATATTGTAGCTGATTGGTTTTTTTCACAACACGTCGACGATCACATTATCATAGCCTCATATATCATACATACCCTGCAAATGACCCTCGCAAATACAAGATTTCAAAATTTGACATGCAGAGGCACCATCTGCTCTCGAGGTGGTTGGAGAGGAAAATATCGTGTGTTTGCATTAGAGTCAACATGTGCACTTCGACCGTGTTGAGTAACACATCCGGTTGTTTGGATTCGTGGCTATTGCCAAACCACATCCTGAAAGCACCTACGTACATAGTTCGTTTGCAATAGAGTATACACGATTATTCGCATGCGGTGGCAGGCTGTAATCAAGTGTAGTAACCCAGCACATTTCCTGGTGCATAGATCAGGCTTGGGTTATCAGTTAGATATTACTGTCTAGACTGTGCTGCAATCGCAAGACACTCACCGGATAGCGAACATCGAACGTACTTCAACGCAGCGGGCATCACTATTACACAGGACTGGATTTCCATGCCACGGAAATTCGTTCGAGCGTGGTAGTGGCGTCAGCCATGTCTCCCTTACTCCACAGCTTCGTACTTCGATCCAATGAACAAGCAACCATGGGAATTATACTTACTAGGAGATACCTGCCCTTCGCAGCGGTCCGAGTGCCTGATGCCCTGGACGTCTAATATGCAAATTGAGGCTGTGGAGAAGCAAAAAGGCCCTGGACCTCTTGGATCAAGACACTCACAAGCCCTCCAGCAAATTATGCTCCACATCGTCCACCTCGAGTAGAATGACGGAAGAAGATCATCCTGCCATCCGAATGACCACAACTAGTCAAATATTTATAGGCCATAGACATAGTGTATTTACAGTTGCAGAATTCCCCGATGGACGCCGTATGGTGACGGCCTCGTATGACAAGCGTATGACAAGACCCTTCGTCTATGGGACTTGGAAAACGGTGTCGTATCGAAGATAATGGAGGGGCATCACTGGGGCATACGAGTAGCTGCAGTATCGAGAGACGGGCACTTCATACCAAGCGGTGATTTTGGCGGGGAGCTCATAGCCTGGAACAGAGACGGCAAATCTCTCACCCAGCCCATCCGAGTCAAAGTCCACTCCAACAAGATTTTCTCGCTTGACTTTTCTCCAGACAGCACATTTCTGGCAAGTGGCTCTCTATGGACAACACAGTAGAGCTCTGGAACACAAAAACATGGCGGGTGGAAGGAAATCCAATGGGCAGAGACCTTGATGTAACGTAGGTAAGCAACGTACATCACAAAAATGGTAAGGCACCGAGGGGTAGGGGCTCGGTGTAGTGTAGGTTAATCAGTAGGCAAGGTACATATCAAAGAAGCAGCGAGAACGATGCGCGTATGCCAGCGGACTACATAGTCTCGAATGTGTGGCACTTGTACTTTCAAACTCCGCATATACCATGCCGTGTTGACATTGTGCTTCTAACTTGAATGACAGGCTGGTACGTAGCTGACACTGATCCGATCACGGACACCACAAGGGTCCAGTTCACCATTATGCGTTCATCCATGATCAAGCATGTCATCTGATACTCATTAACCATGTACTCACTTTCAACCACTTGACAATAAGTGGAAAGGCCGGGACTACGCTGCTGAGCGCATTGATGAGGCAGAGTACTTCGAGCCAGAAGAACAGTCGCTCATGGTCTAAGAATGATTTGATTTCTTTGGCGAGGTCTGGATCACAGTCAGTGGCTTGTACGTGTGTAGGCCAGAATCGACAGGCATAGGACAGATGTGAGGGAATGCACTTTTTAACTCGTTCTGGTAGACCAGTATCTTGGGAATTGGCGAGATAAGATGATTTTAAATCGCAGATATTGAAGGAAAGTTTCATGTTCCATCGTTAAAGCAAAGTCTCGTTGTACCTTCGACACATTGACGAAGAACTCTCCGCTATGTGATTGGTCTGTCAGAAAATAGCGGAAGGATGCGTGAAGGGGTCGGATTGGAGTGAACGAGTTGGTAGTGCCGCTAAGGAGGGATCCATATGTTCTACTATGACTTCCACTTTGGAGCCCTCGCTTTCATCTGGAAAATGGTTTCGCATGGCATTCAGGGAATTTAAAGCAAGGAGTTCGGCTATGCCAATAATTTTTCGCTAGAGTATTTCTACCGTACCGATGTCCATGTTATCAACCGATGCAATGTCTTTGACTTGTGCAATGATCTTATAGTCCGACGCAATCCTCTTGTATTCTCCGATACGTTGCTGCGCTAGCAAAAATGCGTCGAAAGGCTGTCCGAGGCGAACCATTAATCGCAACGCTCGTGAGCCAAGCTCCTCTTTAACAGGTGAATCGCCGAGTAACTCGTCGGAGTCGTCTATCGAGGACCCGGGCTCGGTCCAATCTCCTATGCTTTCTATATCGTCCGCGAAGTGGTACTGCTCTGCAAAGTCAGGCACCCCGAGGAGATGTCGATCCCATGGACGGACAAGTAAGAACGTCTGCTGAATGGGCCTTGCCCGCGAGAACTGAACTAGGGTCTTTTCAGTGGTGATCAGCAGGTCGTGAAGCCCGTCTGCCTTGATTCCATAAGTCATGGAAGTCTCCTGGGCTAGACCACGCCTCCGTCTGACTTCCGTGACACGAAATGAAATGCAAGGCAGATGAAGTCTGCAGTTTGCAAAGCGAGGAGCTCTAAGCTGTTCAAGCTGGTCATAAAATTCCAATGCTAGACCTGCAGACACAGTTTGTCGCAGCGAGGAGACTTGCGTGTGAATATAATCATCAGACAAAGGTGAAAGGGTGCGTGGAGGAGTGGTGTAAGAGGTGATATGGGCTGGAAGACAGCTATTGAACTCGGAAGGTTCTCCGATCCAATCGAGGACAGTGATGTCGCCCGATCGAGCTACGATCTCCTGCAGGAGCCGCCCGAGCGCGTTCTGCTTCTTCTCGCCATAAATGACAGGTAGGGTGATGTCAAAGATGCCAAATAATGCGTACGCAACGTCTTCCTGAAAAGTAGTGACGCGCTTCGATGCCCATTGCAGTTTCTCTCGGGCGCCGCTCATACCCGGACGGAAGGTCACCAGGGTCCGCTCATCTATGCCCGTTGCATCTTTCAACTCCTTCATGATTGCAGGGGACTCTTTGTGGTTAGGAGAGCGATCGTCGAGATATAAAGACCAATCCTTCCGATAAAAGATAGCAACTTTGGGAGCGAGGAATTCTTGAAAGGTCCATCCCCGCTCGTTCCAAACACTCCTCGCCAGTGCACCAGGCTGAGATGAAGGAGGAACATCACATAGGTAGACGATGGTGAGCGCAGAATGACGGTACCAGACGAACATCGAGTTGACCGATTCTTGAACCTCGGTGTTGCTCCTCTTGTCGATGCAACATGTGTCCATCCACGCCCAAAGATACCCAGCATCACGAGCGACTTGGCAGAACGACTGCAGTTTCACGATGCCGCCAATTTCCTTCAACTTGCGCACATCTTCATCCTGGATGTCTTGCAGCTCCGCCTCCTTCTCTTCCCACCTGTGTGATAGCATGACGCAGCGGAAGTATATTGCTACCATTTCCTTGATGCGGCCCATTTGGAGGTCTGAATGCTTTGTTGTGAATGACAAAAGCTCCTTGTACTTTGCACTCGTTTTGAAGGCGTTTATTTGTGCTGTTCGATCGCACAAAAGACCCGTAGAAGTATTGAGTAGACGTAGCGGGGCATATTCAAGTTCAGTCCAAACAGCTTTTAGAATAGCGTTTTCTGCTTCGGATGGATGCACATACTGCTGACGCAGGTCTGCAGAACGAGATAGGCGTTTCGAGATTATGTAAGAGTGCCCCAAGGCTTACCTCGCATCCACACTTCGGGAGAATCGTCCAACTTCGACAACATGATTTTGAAGGTTTCGATGGCTTCATTGTAACGTTGCGCGCCACGCAGCGTTGCATGTGTCAACTGGTATCCAACGTAAGACGAAGGATTGAATTCGATCACCTACACATCGCCGAAGTCAACAAAGGCTACGAAAACATAGATGTCATCGCACCTTTTGCGCGTCGAGAAGCACATCCTCCCATAGCATTTTCCCCAACTTTGCCTTACTGCGATTTGCAAAGATAGCATCAGATGGAGAATTTAGATCGATTGTGGCCGAGTATAAGTCGATAGCCCTGTCAAAATCGCTTGCAGCGAGGGCAGCATCTCCGCCAGTAAGAAGGAGGGCGCTGCATTCTTGTTTGAAAGCTGAGTGAAATATGTGTGAGGATTTATAAGATTCGACGGCATCCATCCAGTTGACATCACGTCCAGATGCTACACGAAGAGAGTTCGGAAACCAAACAGAAAACGTTCTGAACAGTGCAGAGTTGAGGGGAGAAAATGGAAGTGCTGGTACATAGATATGAGGTGTGCTGTGCAAGATGATGCCGTCGAAGACTTGGATGAATCTCTGCACTTTCATTGCAGCAGACGAGGCATCTTCGTATCCGATGTGACCCTGTAATTGCGATTGTACGTTAGTGAACATGTTATCTGACAATCAAGTGCTCACTTTCAACCACTCGGCAATAAGTGGAAGGGCCGGGACTACGCTGCTGAGCGCATTGATGAGGCAGAGTACTTTGAGCCAGAAGAACAGTCGCTCATGATCGAAGAATGATTTGATTTCTGTGGCGAGTTCTGGATTGAAGTCAGTGGCTTGTACGTGTGAAAGCCAAAATCGACAGGCATAGGATAGATGTGGGGGGATGCGCTTTGCAACTCGTTCTCGCAGACCGGGATCTTCGGAGTCGGGGAGATAGGATGAGTTTAAGTCGCAGATATTGAAGGAAAGTTCATCTTTCATCACTCCAAGTGATGCGAAAGCAAGGTTTCGTTGAACCTTCGGCACATCGACGAAGAACTCTCCGCTGTGTGATTGGTCTGTCAGGAGATCGTGGAAGGATGCATGAAGGGGTCGAATTGGGGTGGATGGGTCGGTGGTGCCGCTGAGGAGGGATCCCATGTGTTCTACTATGACCTCCACTTTGTAACACTCGCTTTCATCCGGAAAATGGCTTCGCATGGCATTCAGGGAATTCAATGAGAGGGGTTCGGCGGTGCCAAGAATTTGTCCCATCACGGAACGAAACGCCACTAGCTGTGTTTGCTGAGACTTGAGGCTTGTGCATCTATCCTTGGGCATGATCTGCGTCAGAGTAAATTTATACTTATCATAAAACAGGTGCTCCCGTTCGATAGGATCGCGCGACACTATGGCATCGAACGACTGATAGGGAGATAAGCCAGGAAGAGGTGCTTCGATGGATTCGCAAGCAAGACGTGCCCACTCGAAAAGACCATCAGCTTTCTTGGCCAGGGCTGTGAACTCTTTGCTCCCAAAATGCGAATGCCCCTCCAACTTCTTCGACACGTAAGCAAAGATATCGCGTTCCGCGACTTCTGATGGAATGTCATCCATGGAAATCCTTAGAATATGTTGAGCGTCCGCAAACGCATTCTGAATGTCCCGGAGCGGGCGAGAGGTGACGATAAACCGAAAGTTCTTTGGGAGCTCTGTGATTCGGGGAACAGCAGAGTTCTGAAATTTATCAGAAAGAATGCGAAGAAGGTTACATCGTGTCTCGACCGTGCCGCTCTCATCCAGTGCGTCAATCACGATCACGACAGGGCCCACAGTCGACTCTGAGAGCTTCCGTAGTGGTTCCATCAGAAGCTTTCGCCATTGCTGGATAATGTCAGCTGTAGTCTTGAGCGCGTTGCTATGCTGAACTGCATCTATCAACGCTCGCCTCACCCCTGAGTCACGGTAAGCCAGGTCAAGCGCGATGGTAGAAAATATCTTCTCATGGCGACGGTCGGCTTCTCGATCTCGGTCAAAGCAATAGCATGAACCAAGACCTCCCGCATCGCTGAACCAGTTAGCAACCGTGTGGGCAATGGATGATTTGCCCTTGCCTGCGGGGCCAGATAGCCACAGCACAGGTGGAACATCGTCTCCAGTGCTGTTCACCCAATCTGTGATCTGGGAGAGTATGTCCGTGCGCGTCCCTTGGAGACACTGTTTCCCGGTATCTAGCCCCGCGTTTGCTGCATAAGTTATACCACTGAGGTTCATTAATTCACCTGAGGAGAAATGTATAGCTGTTGCGTCAGAAGCAAGTACAATCCTCACCTGTATGGTGGGTGTGAATAGCTACGTCCCGAGCAACTTGGTCCCGGAATTTTTGCATGATGGCATCCAACGCATCGCTGTACCGTTGAATCATATCATTTGTTTCGGTGGAAATGTCTTTCCCGACTCTCTTCCCTGTCATGATAGTGAAAGACTGAGCATGTGGAACATGCAACAGCTTGAAGACTCACAGAATCTCTGCGTCTTTGAATATTCTCTGATGAAGCGGGCGCATTCAAGGGTCTGCTGAGACATCTGTCCAAGAATACCCCGCATTGATGAAATTTAGCTAAGCGTCTCGTCCTGGATCATGAAGTCATAAACTTCAGCCAACTTGTAGACAAGACGATGGACCGCTTGATCGCAGTCCGATTCGGCTATGACCATCTACACCGATGACTCCTGAGTATGTGATAGAACGAGAGAAGAACTAAACATACTTTAAAAGCACAAGACAAGATGCCCAGTGCCATCTTTGCATATGGATGCACCTGCGGAACGGGATTAATTCGGTTTCAACCAAGAGGAATGGGCCCATACATCCGCGATATTCCCAATAACATTGTCAAATATCCTGAGGGGTTGGAGATATGTGTCCAGATCCCCTGATGCATTTTGGGCGGCGGATGCCCCAGATTCTACAGGCCCCGAAAGTAGAGTCATGCGTCCGACAACTCCTTGGGCGTCTCGAAGTGCCGATTGGGGATCACCACCTTGTTTCACATCAGATGGAGTATTCTGAACCTGTACGACCATCAGAAGTTGAGAGAGAAAGCATAAACTGAAAAGTGAGCTACCTCAGGCTCGATATTCAGAGTCGACAAGGCGTCTTCGTGATCAACATCCGGGAGAAGAGGCTCGCGGCTGCGCAAATTCTCCATGTTCGAGCGCTTCTGTATGATCTCAACCTGATCCCAATACAACTCAGCTGCTCGACTTACAGAATTCTTCTTTGTTACACCATCCTTGACCTTCTTCAGAAGCCGACCAAATTTGCGTGGCGATTGGACCTGGACACATGGGCATCAGAGTCAGTGTATGAGAATGCGATGAACGACTAATGCACATGGGCGACGTACGGAGCTTCCGCGAGTAACCGCCGTGGAGTCTGGAGGAACTGGGTTCGGGTCCCTCAATTGATTGCTGTTGCTCATGGTAAACAGTTAAGGATCAGGCCTCAGGCCTTGAATAAGAGGAATGGGAAGCAACGTGGATAACAATGTGATATAAATATGATACCCTTGACCTTGGTAAGCCTCGAGGCCGACGGCGACGCTTATTTGCCGCTATATTGACCTCGAGCGCTATAGATAGGCTAAGCATTGATTGACATTTCCAATTGAATGATAAAATAGCTGTGATCGTGAATCAAACCGTGGAGGCCAACTACAGTCTGAAAAAGACTTGGAAAGCCACGGACATATCACCCTCCTTTTCTACTTTGATTTTAGAGAGCATCTGGAGCACAAGAAGCAGTTTAGGGCTGTGGTTGACGTTGAGGCCGAGTGTCATGACTTCATTGTCAGAGTCACAACTCTCCAGACAATGCCAGGACCGACGCGCGCACGACCAGGTGAGGTAGATGTTTTGACGACTTGAACCAGACGATGAACGTACTATCATATGTTTTTCACAACTGTGTTCGCGCGGCATCCAAGAAATAAGATCCAACCCTTTCCACTGTCCTCGTACTCAGCAAGTTCCAGCCCATCGTGTTGTGGAGTTTCAGAATCTGTCACGTCGTAGGAAGCATGGACTTCAGTCTTTGGTTCTCCAGCAATCCCCACTGGCACATTTGGACTCCACCAACGTCGTCTTCCGTGCTCTTCACGCATTCCCGCTGCAAGAATACAGTTCTACCATCGAAAAGCAAGTGCATGCAGCGCGCAATGACCAGGGGAATACAGGTGAGTAGCCAGCTTTTAAATGGCGACGACTAGTAGGAAGAATTATGTGCACAAGTATCGGAGTTTGCCAGCAGCTGCTAGTGCTGGCCCTAGCGACCTTGTATTTTTCTACATAGTATGAATATGAATATCTTATTTGGCCGTTCACCGAACGGCGCGCACTTCCAACAGTTTAAAGACACCTGGTCAACGGCTAGTACATAAAGCTTAAAGTTGCATAACGCTAAGTGTAAGCAAGTACTCAGCTATCGATCCCCAATTCATTCGAACCTCAATATATATCTCGTTCACATGTTCTAAAGCATCATCTTGTAATATTAAACGGAATCCCACAATCCAATGTGGAGCATACCGTACTTAAGTAGTAGTAGTACTAGTACTATGAACGCCTACTACCGTACACCGTACTTATAGACAACAAAATCAATTATGAAAAAAAAAGAACCCAGGGTTATTATCACTCCACCGTGCCCTCACGCGTCGCCGCCAAAGCAACCCCAATAGCCTTGACCAAATCATCCGCCGACAACGAACTAGACGCACTCCGTTCTTGCGCACGCGTCGACCCCCACGTCACAGTCACGGACTCCCCCACCTCAGGCTGGGGCCACCCCATCCCCTCCTCCAGATCCTCCAACGGCGTCAACGTCCCATCCGAGTCCAGCTCCAAATCCGAGTCCGGCGACGACGCCCGCGAAGAAGAGTACGATGACACAGGCATACGCGTAAATGGCACGTACAACCACTTCGCGTCGCCGATATAAACACGTGGTCGTTCGACAGCTTTACCTTTCCCTTTGCCTATGGAGTGTTCCTCTGAGACGAGAGGCGGAATTACAGCGCTGGGCTCGAGGTCTTTAACCGTGCGGATCTTCCACTCGCGTAACGGCGTTCCAATGAATACCTTCGGTTTCTTCTTCAGTTTCACTTTTGCTTTCTGTTTCGATTGCACGTTTTGGGCGCGTTGTTTGGCAGGTTGTGTGGGTCGGACAGGGGCAGAGGCGCTAGTATCGTCGATAAACGCACGTCCGACGCGTTCGCCTTCAATACCATAGACATGAGCCCAGAACATTGTCTGTGGCGCACTTTCGGGAGGTTCAGGTGTCATTGCAATATCCGGGATATGGGAATCATCAGGCACAAGCAAAATGCCCGACTTGGTGCGAGATCCCGCAAATCCGCCTCCACGCATGGAAATATACTCCTCCCCGCGTCTCCGCGAGCATACGGAGCAGTTGCAGATATCAAGGCAGACCGGACAGACAAACTTCTTGTTATTGGCGGAGAACACTATCTCGGGGTACCTGAGGAATCATACGACGAGACATTGCAATCAATGAGGAAAGGAGATGGAATAAAGGAGAGGGAGACGACAGACCGGTTCAAGATGCATTTATTGCAAAACCGTTTCCCGCAGATTGACCGGTCTGGACGGCGTTTGGAACAATGCATCTTGGGTCTGGTGTTCGTATTCCTGCATTGGTGACAGGAAGTCTTGACAACTTCAGGCTCGCCATCGTCCTGTAGCATGGTTTGAGCTGGAGGAAGAGGTGCATGAGCCTTGGACAATTTCGTTTCTGGAAGTGGAGCTGCAGATACAGCAGGAGATGTCGAACTCGAGGTTTTCGAAGGCGCAAACGACCCATCAGAACCCGCACGGGTACCTGATCGGCGAATGCGCAACTTGAGACTTGGCTGAGTCCCAGGTCGTGCAGGTGGAGCAGAAACAGCTTCAGCAGTCCACCCGCCGTCACCGTCATCCTTAACCTCCCTGTCGTCCAACTGTCTCGCTAACCTAGTCGCGTCGGCTTCATCAGTAACAGAGGCCGATTCACTGGTGCGATATTTGATCTGAATGTTTCTTCGTGACTTGCCAGAAATTTTGTCCGAGAGCGCTGGGGCTTCCTGCGAAGCAGACACCCCTGGAGGTCTGCGCACGTATATGATGGGGCCTGCTGATAGCTGTTTCGAGTTTTGAGTGCCTCTTGATGGTGGTTTAGGAGGGGGTTCACTACCACCAAGCAGCGAGGGATCAATCGTACCCGCGCTGCCTGAAGGAGAAAGACTCTCGGGGGATATGCTCTTTGTCTCAATGGTAGGCGATAGGGACCACTGGCCATCCTCAGGGAGAGCTAGATCGAAGCTAGCATCCAGGCTATGTGATGAATTGGTAGCGTACGTATCCGTGAGCTGTAGTGAAGGAGGGTCGGGTACCAGCTTCGGGCTAGGAGGTACTCCGAAGAAACTATCCTCTGCATCTTCTCGCGTGACTGACGCTGCGTCAGGGGGCAGCCGTGTTGTATTGTGCAAGAAACCAATGAAGGAATTTGGTGCGGACCGAGTGTACTTAGCACCTGGAGAATATGTCTTTGGAGGGGAATCGCCGAGGTCGTTCAAATACTGATCCATCTCCGTGCTGAAGTCCAGGATTTGATCCCCTTCCAGTGCGGTATAGTGCGGGATGTCGTCGAGGATGTCAGAGGATGAAGGGTCCTGTGTTTGAAGGACAGTACCAGCGGATCCCAATTTAGGCTTGGACGAAGTCGGAACATTTTGTGGCTCTAAATTGTTCTTAACTTTACCTTTGCGAGAGGAACCTTTAAGAGGCGCGCGCGCAAAGTATGGTGTCAGGGCTGCTTCGATATCCGGCCTCTCCTGGAACAGCGGTGCGAGAACACGAGGGAAGACAGGTTCATATTCTTTTTCATCTTTCTCATCATCCGGGACCGCAGGACCTGTCATCCCTGCAATCATCTCCGGTAAACCTTCGTGCAGTTGTGCGTAAAGGCGCTGAATACGTTTGACGTAGATGTAATAGGTACTCGACTGCAGGATATCGTCGTGATGTGGTAGAAAATCTGGCAGGTCATGGATGTCAAGCTCGATAGCAGGATATTGGGCGTCCAGAAGCTGGGTTGGTATCGTAGAAACGTCTTCTCCGAACTTTCGAAGATGAGGCTTGTACTTCCTTTTCCGACGTGCAGGAGCTGGAGGTGGGCGTTCACGTTCACGCTCCTTTCCCTTGCGACTGAGAGAGGGTGATGGCGGCCGGTCATTTTGAGCGAATGCAGAGGGTAGGGCGTGGCTAACTGGTGAGTGCTGTACACCCTGCTGAGCCTTGCTAATCGTCGCGTTCGCCTTGCAACTGGCCCTGGTCGTGTCTTTTCGAAATGGTGGCACAGATACACAGTCGAGGACAACGCGTCTGCGAGGTTTACGGGAAGGTGGAGGTGTGAATAGAGAGTCGCCCATTTCGGGTGAGGGCGATCTTGGAGAATGGGCACCACGATCTGAAGACGAATCAGGCACGGAAAAAGGTTCAGTCTGGAAATTAATAGTCAGGAAGTGGGTTTTGAGGGACGGGAATGGTGTTGTGTTGTATGCAATTACTCACAAGCATGTCATCTACGACCATCTCCTCATCTTCATTGTCAGGGTCACTGACAATCTTGATACCATCATCTTCATCATCAGTCAACTCAATTACATAGTTATGAGCTAAGAGAGGGGGTATAGACATGTCGAATAAGTTGGACTCCGCGGCATGGGATGAAGTTGGCATGCTCCGGGTGCTGTGCTGTGAGGAAAGAAGATATGATTCTGGTGGCAAAACTTCATCCTGTAGAGAAGAATACGTAAGTGTGATGGATCTATCAAGGGAAGAAGACGCGCTCACGGCAGCCGAGGTGTCGTGAGTACTAGTATGCTGGATTAATGGAAACAGTGTATCGAGATTAGACGGCTGAAAGAGATGAGGCATATGTGCGGGTGAAGGCGTTTCAATAGATGACGCGGGCTGAGTGGAGTTTAGTAAACCACAATGATTCAGGAGACACGCGAGCACACCTTTATTGAAGCACGCGTAGAACGACGGTTTTCGTCGGGTAAATCGTGTATAGAAGATGAAACATCAATAATATAGCAATCCGAATCTTCTCCAGAATCATTAGCGTCTTGTAATGATGTACTAGAAGGATACACCGATGAAAGGGTATGATTCGTGCTACTGGTCGACTTGAAGGGCGATGTCGAAGGTACGTCTTTGTGTGACTGAGGATAATAGGAACTGGATGATAGAGGGCCGTCCCAGTCAATGAGCTCTGGATGCTCAAAGCTTTTCATTGTCGTTGACCATAGCGAGCAGCCCGACAAAGTCACTCTTCCAAAAAGGGCCGCCATCGGCAATTCCCGTACTTATTACGGCGTTCAAGTTTTTAAAGTTAAACGTCAAACATTAATTGAAATCATTGACAGTTGCATGACTTTCCGTAGGACTTCGAGTTGTACTAGTAGTCCAGGGAAGTTGCTGCGTGTCCAGCTGCGGACTTTGACTACTATTTCAACGCTATATTTCTCATTTTTATTATTATGATTGTGATGGGGAACACGCGCTTCAAAACCAGCGATGGACTAATCAGACTAGTGTGTATTCCGAATGACCATCAGGCCTGTGGTGTGCAGACTAATATTCCATCAAAGACAGGACTTATCGGTATTCGCAACTGACATGTGATTGGCACGAACTGGTCCCGTTTCCTCCCAGCTTGGCGCTAGCGCTTATCATTGAAACACATCAACGATCATGACGAACACCGAACACCTCGACCTCCGCGAAATAGACGCCTGTTTATTCGACGTATTCGGTACCGTCCTTAACTGGCACAGCACAGTCACTCGCCAAGTCGCCCGTCTCAGTAAAGGACTGCTTCTTGAAGGTAAGTAGCAGATCCCATACTCCCGCCAGATGATCTCACACTGATCACATCTATCAGGTTCACAGGACGCAGTCGATTTTGCGGAAGAATGGAGAGCAGGATATTATGCTTATGTGTAAGTCCGTCGCTTTTCGATCTTGCCCTCAGATCATAACGTGCACGTTCATGCAGCAAACGAGTATCACAGGGCGGGGAGGGTACTTCCAACGCAGACATCATGCACCGAGAAGTAATTCGCTCTCAAGCGTGCATGCACATGATCTGTATTTAACCATATCACAGATACTGGACGATATGCTCACCACCCCGCGCTGGTCTCATATTGCAGAAGTGTGGGGGGAATCTGATCGGGAAGATCTCACCCAGATCTGGCACAACTTGGATGGTACGAATCTTCAGAGACAAACATGACTAATACTTCAATTTCAATAGCGTATCATGACACCATCCCGGGCCTGACAGAACTCAAACGCCACGTCAACATCCTCGCTCTGTCTAACGGGAACTTTAGATTACTTCTCGATCTGGTAATTGGGTCACCACATTACGCATCAGGCCTTTCCCCTAATCAGCGTTACAGGCAAAGAACCAAGGTGTTCCCTGGGATGGTATCTTTTCGTCCGAGATGTTCGGATCTTACAAACCGTAGGTCTCGCTTTTATATCTGTATCTTATCCCATCATCTGACGTCTGTGCAGGAACAAGAAGGTCTACCAATCCGCGGCATATCACCTTTCTTTACCTCCTCACAAGATAGCAATGGTCGCTGCACACAGGCACGACCTCCTCGCTGCTGCTAGCGTAGGCTTCAAGACGATATATGTACCACGCCCTGCTGAAGATTCGCGCGAGGTAAGGGAGAGCATGCGTACCAAGGAGGACGGCGGTGAGGTGGATCTTATCGTTAAAGATTTTGAGGAGCTGGCGAGGTTAATACGTGAAGCTCAACAAAGCTGAAGCGCGCAGTTGGTACATACTTTGTAAGTCCTTGACATATCGCGGAATCTGCCCATTGATATCACAGTATTACAGTGCGAGCGAAGTGAGGTAACCGAATCAACGATCAGATCGATCATGTTCGGAGTAGTGATACGAACGAAACAATCATTATATTTTGTAAATGCAGTTCGTAGTCGTCGGGAGGAGCTCCACGCATAAGCTCTCTTATAATAACTACAACATTCTGATATGCGCTAGCCGTGCTCACATCTCTGATAAGCGAAAGGCAGTAAGTCCATGATCGTGATCGTGACATCTATCTACAATATGTAAGGACGGAACGTTTGATCCCGCGGAACCAATTCGCGTGACTCTGCTGTCTTGTACTGTCCTCCAAATTGGTCTAGCGCCAACGGATCTAAGCTCCTACTCTTTCACCACCATGGCCTCCGCGTGCTCCTTTCACGGCATTGTAGAAGTAGACCAAGCACCTCCAGACGCACCCGAGCAAACGCCCGACTACCTCGCCATGTCGACTCTGAGTCAACGCCTCCCCATCGCTTGGATCTCAAAGTGGATGCTATATGCGCAACATGTCCGATGACGGATGAGTGCAAAATGCGCGAGTCTGCATCACCGCTCTGCATCGCAAATTCGTGGAGCTCAAACAGGAGAAATACATTCCCTGCCTCGCATCACATTCTCTTTCAATCCAACGGGGTCAAGCTAGACCGTCGATTGAAAACAATTTCACCCTGCGACCTGCTTATGCCACCACATTCAACGGATGTCAAGGACTCACTGGAGAAAGCGGTGCTGAACCTACGTACTGATTCGTTCTTCACCGTATAAAGGCAGCCGACGTCCGAAGGTGATCGAAACGCTTGTACATAAGTAAAAGGAAACTACAAATGTGGAATCAACTTTGTCCAAGCTACTGTGTCGTACACGCCAGGAGGTAATGATCGAAAGCCCATCAATATAAGTACAATGAGTGTAACGCGTGCAACAATATATACACACGCGCTGGACAGTACAGTACACGCTACGATAGTCTGATGAAGACCATCCAGCCAAATGATATAGCCATACGACAGAAGAATGAATACTGGTGCTGATGCTATCGCAAGGGAAGCTGCACGCCATAGCATCTGCTCTGCGTGCCCCTGAAACAAAACATTCCAGCCCAAACAGTGCAGACCTCCAAACACTGCCCCACTGAAACATCCAATAAGAAGTCTGACTCCATCATGACGATTACTCTCCTTATAGCCACCCTGAGACGGAACCCGACGTGAATGGACAGCACGAGGGGAAACAGATATTTCAATGCTCATAAGACTCATCCAGGGATAAACGCAAGTGAACCAAAGATCACTCCAGAAGTTTTCGGAGAATTTTTCACCTATATTGCTAGGATGCAGGCGAATTAGAACGACATCAAGCAAGAATATTGACGACATACTCGTAGGTTAATATGCTTGGTGGAGAGGCAGTTGCTTTCCAATAAACAACATGAGGGCGTCCTACATCCTTAGGCTTCTTCCACCAAAAGCCGTAAGCAATGCCGCTCAGCGCAGCTATAGCAAGGGTGTCGAGTTCAAGCAGTGTCACCGGAAGGTTCTGAACGTAACGGGCGACAAGCTGGAGGACGAACCATGCCAGCTGAAGAATGGCGATGCCTTTGGACAATGCGTCACCCTTACTTCGATCTTCTATGTCTGCCTCCATGATGATGGGCATTTCCACAGAGCCCTCATGAACAAAGCGCTTAAGCTCATTGGGTGTAAGAGTGGCTCGCGGCTTGTCATCGAAGTAGAGCATGAATCCACCCATCCATACGAAAAAACCATGCGTCACTGTCCACTCTGTAAGACATCCGTTGAACAAAGTTAGTTACCACACCGAAGGGCCAACTTGAAGCAGGTAACCGACCTCTAAACAATGATGCTGGAAGCGACGTAGCTGTACCGATCTCTCTCATATCTGCACAGCAGCTGCGGGTCTGGTGAAGTTGTGCACCAAAGACATCATTGAAGGCCTTTGCAGTGTCACGAGCACTTAGAAACTGTACAGTGGCCCAGGTAATCACAAGTTCTGGGGCGATCAGCCCCATCATCATGATGCCTAGCCGACGAGAGTAAACAGCGAATTTCCCCTCGTCCATACCTGGGATGTTTGGATGAATTGCAGTCCATGTGCATGCGAATAGAGTCGCAGCGCAACTCCAGATGATGTCCCACAAGGATCTGGTGTTGCTGCAGGATAAAGGGTTACTGACGTCGAGTGTAGGGACACTGGTGCCATTGAGGTTCGGCAGTGAAGCGGAAACAAACGGGATATGTAACAGTAATAAGATGGCCAAGGGTGAGAGGGTCATGATGAAGTTGAGGGCGTACGTCTGCTTAATCTGCTCCTTCTTTAAAGTCGCGGTTGCACGCAAAACAAGCCGGGATCACATCACTGAAACCCACCAAGCATGATATGGCCACTTATCAGTAAATCACAATGTTCTGTGCAGAGCTGTACAGAGCTCTGGGAGAAGTTTGCTGTGAGTGCTGTGAGCGCTGTGGGTTACTGTGGGAACTGTCGAAAATGTTGATGTCTGTGACAAAATTTGTGGTTTACTGATGCCGCCGGCCGGCCACTGCCTCAGCTGCTTGAAACGAATATGTCGGCGAGCTCCCACCCGTCACTTCCTATTTCACCAACACAGCTACTCTTCGATCACGGCGTGTCTTGCATAGTAGCCTACACTGCACTCTTGTGGACCCGACCTGCGCATCTCACTTTAGTTGATAATCTGGCCGCTCATCCTCGCAACTCAATCATCTCTCTTTTTGGCCAAATCCGCGATCGGGGCGGAATAGACTTAATGTATAGGTTTGACGCGTAGCCTCAGTGTTCTCCTGTTTATGTGGAGTGATGTAATTGGACACCTGCACCGGCTGATATTGTTGCACGAACTCTCAGCTCTTCCAAGCCTTTGCCGTCTCTTGAAGCACACCAACAACTATGACAAGCACAGAGCACCTCGACCTCCGCGCGAAACAGACGCCTACTTGTTAGACGTATTCTGTACCGTCCCCGACTAGCACAGCACAGTCACTCGCCAAGTCGTCAGCCTTAGCTAAGGACTGCTTCTCGAAGGCAAGTCACAGATCCTACATTCCCTTCAAGTGATGATCTCACACTGATCACATCTATCAGGCTCACAGGACGTAGTCTATTTTGCAGAAGAATGGAGAGCCAGGTATTATACTCATGTGTAAGTCTATCGCTCTTCGATCTTTGCTTCTAGGTGATGATGTGTACGTTCATACAGCAAAAAGAGTACCACCGTGACAGGGCGGGGAGGGTACTTTCGACGCAGACATTATTATTGCGTCGAGAAGTAATTCGCTTTCAAGCGTGCATGCACATCACCTGTGTTTTATTGTATCACAGATACTGGATGATATGCTCACCACTCCGCACTGGTCTCATATTGCAGAAGTGTGGGGGGAATCTGATCATGGAGATCTCACCATGATCAGGCACAACTTGGACGATACAAACCTGAGTTAGAGAAGTTTGCAACGATTATCTTTCTTTCTTCGATTGAAGGACTTATATGCGGGCACGACCTAGACAACTTCTAACCGCTAGCTTGCTTCAATACGTATCTGAATGATCATGACTCGTTCGGCGGTGTATCGATTGTGCTCCATGGCTAGTGTGTTTTATTTCATGCGATGTGTCATTACTTGGTCTTGGAAGAATTTTCCACTTTCCTGTGACATCTCCCCCACCAGTAAGACTCACATCCCTTTCACGCCACTGTAGCTGCGCTGCGTTGATAGACTTCGCGAAATGTGCATCAGCATACATCCCCTCCTTGATTTATGCACTGCAGATTGTCTAGACCGTGTTGTGGTCGCGTTCAAATATTGGAACAATACTATTCGTTGTTCCTTCACAATCATGCAACACGGCCGCCCGAATCGTGCTCGCATCTCTGATAATCAGAAGTCCATAGTCATGATCGTGACACAAATGAAAGGAAACTACAAGTGTGGAATAAACTTGGTCCAAGCTACTGTATCGTATACGCCAGGAGGTAACGATCGAAAGCTCATCAATATAAGTACAATCAGTGTAACGCGTGCAACAATATATACGAAAAGGCTAGTGAGTAAAGCTAAATTTGCGATAATACCGTCAGAAGCGTCCACATCATGCAGCCAAAGGATATAGACAGACAATAAGACAAAAGATATTGGTACGAATACTATCGCAAGGGAAGCCGTACGCCATATTATTTGCTCTGTGTGCCCCTGAAACAAAGCATTCCAGCCCAGACAGTGCAGACCTCCAAACACTGTCCCACTGAAACCTCCAACGGAAAATATAATGATGCGATGACGGTAGATACAGTCACTATCATAGCCACCCGTAGACGGAACCCGACGTGAATGGTCAGCACGGAAGGAAGTGAATGGGCCACCGCCCATAAGATTGAGCCAGGGATAAATGCAAGTGATAAGAATATTACTTTCATGTTCGGAGTATTCTCTATGTGCTTTTCTAAGATGCGGGCGAATTAGAATAATTTCAAGTAAGAATATTCACGACATACTCATAGGCTAATTTTCTCGGTGGAGAGGCTGTTGCTCTCCAATAAACAGCATGAGGACGTCCTACATCCTTGGGCTTCTTCCACCAAAAGCCATAGGCAATACTGGTCAGGGCAGCTACAGCAAGAGTGTCGAGTTCGAGTAGTGTCACCGGAAGGTTTTGAATGTAACGGGCGACAAGCTGGAGGACGAACCACGCCAGCTGAAGAATGGCAATACCTTTGGATAATGCGTCACCCTTGCTTCGATCTTCTATATCTGCCTCCACGATGATGGGCATTTCCACAGAGCCCTCAAGAACAAAGCGCTTAAGTTCCTTGGGTTTAAGAGTGGCTCGCGGCTTGTCATCTAAGTAGAGCATGAATCCACCCATCCATGCGAAAAAACCATGCGTCATTGTCCACTCTGTGAAACATTCGTTGAACGAAATTAGTCACCACACCGAAGGACCAAGCAGGTAACCGACCTCTAAAAGCGCGATTTGTAACATGCGGAGCGCTCAGATGCGGGCTGTTTGTTCTATCCGATGTTGGAATCTCACTAAGCAACGTAGCTGTACTCTCTCCGATATCTGCACAGGCGCTGTGGGTCTGGTGAAGTTGTGCACCAAAGGCATCATTGAAGTCCTTTACGGTGTCACGAGCACTTAGAAACTGTACAGTAGCCCAGATAATCATAAGTTCTGGGGCGATTAACGCCATCATCATGATGCCTAGGCGACGAGAGAAAACAATGAATTTCCCTTCGTCCATACCTGGGATGTTTGGGTGAACTGCAGTCCATGTGCATGCGAATAGAGTCGCGGCGCAACTCCAGATAATGTCCCACAGCGATCTGGTGTTACTGTAGGATGAAGGGTCACTGACGTTGAGTGTACTGAGGCTGGTGCCATTGATGCTCGGCAGTGAGGAGCAAACAAACGGGACGTGTAACAGAAATAGGATAGCCAAGGGTAAGAGGGTCATGATGAAGTTGATGGTATATGTCTGTTCAATCAGCTGCTCTATTTAAGAGTGCGGTCGCACGTACAACAAGTCGACTAGTCAGCCTTCAGGACTAAGTCCTCAAGGCTTCAAGGCCTCATGCCTCATGCCTCGAGGCTACCATACCCACCGCTAGTACAGGGAATCCATTCAGATAGTACACGTTTATCACATGCGGAAAGGTTGTACAATGTTCAATGAATAGCCTAGGGTCCTCCATGCACATGGACGATCGCCGAAGCGAAGCACGGTCGACGCTTGCTGCATCGGCAATTCCCGGCAATGAAATCAAATACAATCTAAAAGCTTATGTAAGTAAGCCGCACTGGCAGGAGTTGCAGGAGTGCTTTCCGCTCGTCCACCTCCGAGTCAGCTGCTCGAAACGAATATGCCGGCGAGCTTTTCTTTTTCCCACCCGTCACTTCCTATTTCACCAACACAGCTACTCTTCGATCACGGTGTGTCCTGCATAGTAGCCTACCTACACTCTTGTGGACCCGACCTGCGCATCTCACTTTAGTTGATAATCTGGCCGCCCATCTTCGCAACTCAATCATCTCTCTTTTTGGCCAGATTCGCGATCGGGGCGGAATGCGCTTCGCACATATCTAGAAACTTTGTTCTTAGTGTGAATCTATTTGCAATTCTAAATAATTCTCTTATCCACGAACCTCCGAGCGGTGCCCAAAGCTAAAGATAAGCTGAAGCAAACATGTTGAGTAGAGTCCGGGATCTAATTCGTTGTGAAAGTACTATGACGGGCCAAACAGGAGGAACTGAGTCTGTCCACCTGTGGGGGCTGAGCGTATTGGTTTCTGTTCAACCCTTGCTTTCCAATCCAATATTGCAAGTAAATCAGATGGTAAGTTATGGATTTGCTACCGTTCTCTGCCGCCTTTGTTGAAGTGATATATGATTGCAGTGAGCATGATCATATTAGGGTCTGCTAATACCTTACAACCCGAGCCAGTTTATCAATGGACCGTGTTATGCCTACTCCATTGCAAAAGTTCGTGGCCGGTTAGATGCGGTCTCGATATTTGGAATATTAAGCCATCCTACTTTCTCCCGAGCATTATGCGTATCATTCCTGGTGCCAAATGCCCAACTTTTTCATATAGAGCTGGAGTGCCCTCTCATCCGCTTCGAATATGACAGCTTCTTTCCAATCGTCGTCAGATTCATCATCAAAACGATATTGACACAGCCCAAAGTCGATGAGCACCACTCGTCTAGGGTGACTGCTAGATACAACGATGTTGTTTGGGCGCATATCGGCATGGATGACACCGAAAGACGCGAGGGTGCTCACGGCCTTTACGAGCTCCTGGTATGCTGAACTAGGGACTGAATGGGGATCTTGGATGGTTGCGAGGTTCTCGCCTGGGATGTACTCCATGAAAAGCACTCTGGGGGATATGGCACGACCTTCGCCGTGGCCCGAGATGACCCGACCCAAACCATAGAGCCGCGGGATGGTAGAACCCTTAAGGTGTCCAAGGCATCTGTAGGCTTTGACTTCACGTGCAAATGAAGCCTCGTACTGGCGATAGTAGATTTCTTCCCACGACGAGCCATCCCAGAACTCTCTCTCCCATTGAGGGATACTAAAGTCATCACCCGTTGTGAATGGACGACGGTCAGCTGCGGCCTTTTCATTGGCAGCGGACCAGTGGATGGGAGATCGTCTTGGGAACGGGTCTTTGCGCTCGTAGTTGAAACGAGGATCAAATATTTTAGCTATCAGTGGATTGATCATTGGGGAGGCCTACTCTGACAGGGGCATCCTCGATTTCGACGCATAATTGTTGGTCAGAGGAAATGGCGGAGTTTGAACGGTTTGACCCATCCACGCCCACATAAGCTCAGGTCCCACATCCTAAACTAAACAGTGAAAACTGGAAGCACTAGCCTCGAGGCTGGCAAAGTATCAGGAAAGGTCAATTGACAATGCTGTCACGTTCATTTGCAAAAGCTTAAGTGAGTCCATCTCTACTTTGGGTGAGCAGCCGTTAGCGTTTCTTTTCTGAACCACAGCTGCTCAAGACGAATATATCGTCAAGCCTTTCTTTTCTCGCACCATCATACCTATTCTTGGATCACGGTGCGCCTCGCATCGTAGCCTACCTACGCTCTTGTGGACTCGACCTGCGTATCTCTCAAACTAATCAATAATGTGCGACTTGAAGCTGGCCGCCCACCCTCGTAACTCACACATCTCTCTCTTTGGCCAGATCCGTGATCGGGCCGGCATACGCTTCGCGCCTTCATCCACATACTCATAATCTTGAACTTGCGAATCTATTTTTTGTTCCCAATAATTATCTTATTCACGAGCGTCTGAGCGATGCCCAAAGACAAGCTAATGCGGACATGTTGAGTAGAGTCCGGGATCTGATTTGTTGTGAATGCCGTGAAAGTGCACAGCATGATGGGCCGAACAGGAGGGTTTAACTGTCCGCCTATGGGAGCTGAGCGTATCAGTTTCTGTCCTTTGCAATCCACTATTGCAAGCAAATCAGATGGTAAGTTATGGATTTGCCGCCGTTCTCGGAAACTTGACTACATAGGCTAAACACCTTTGGCTCACTTCTGAAATTTTCCAGTATTCTCCTGCTTCTCACCTAATGCAGCACGTACGTAAAATATCGTGACGAATCACGCAATGGCTGACCCAGTCTCATAGCCCCGGAGGAACTGGAATGTCGTTTTATTGCGAGAAACGACATAATGTACATTACTAGTTTTCTAAGAACTCGATCAGACACGACTCAGAGGACCTGAACTCACGGTCATGGTGTTCAAGATATCATGATAGGATCTTCTCGTCAGTTCAGATCACATGGTGATAGAGTTGCGGTGTGCAAATATATATCCAATGGCATTAACTCGCGAATTTTTCCTATGCAAGAATTTGACAATCGACGTAGGATCTATTCCTCGAGAATGGAGCAAGACGAGACCCTGTCCTGTGTGATATGGCATGTAAAACTTCCTTACCGCCTTGAGCTACTTATGAGCTATATTGCAGGGTTTGGCTTTCCAGGCGTCTTCTCGTTCTCCCACTACTCCGCTCCGAGTCGTTATCTTTGCAATGTCTATTGCTCTGGACCATGGAGCCATGCTCATCGGTGGCTTGCTGAGCTTCGGGCGCGTTATCAACCATCATGCAAGAATATGATAACTATCTGACGTAACTCACAGCTTGTCGGGTTGCGTTAACATGCAATTCATCGTGTACTGCCGGGTGTATTTTCGCGAGAGTTGGCGTACTAAGTCATTGGTACAAAACTGTCTTTCAAGTTTACATTTTTTGATCATCTTACGCAGGTCATTGTAATATGGTACGCTCGAGCGTGCTGTTGTATGTGAGACGAATGCCAATGGAAATCAGGCTGCTCGATTTATGCCATTCCGCACTTGTGGCAAGCGCCCTCTGGGATTCCATCATTGCGAGTGATAGTGGCTTGGATACACTTGACACAATCCCCTGGTATGTGTGATACTATTATTCACAATCAGTCGGAGAATTAATGCACCATCAGGAGTATTGGTGTGAGGAATCGCGTTTTGGATATGTTGGACTGTCGTTACTAATGCATCCTCTTACAGCCGGCGATCGAGCTTACTGTGCGTTTTCACTCGTATGGAACTGCACAACGCTCACTACTGGAATATCCGTCAGGCTATGATCACCTTCATCGTCCAAAGGTTGGCTATATCATACAAGGACAATATGATTTTGACTCAACCGCTTCAGTTTCTTTGCGTACCGAATCTATAGACGTTCGTGCTTCTCTTCCTTTTATTTTCACACACTGATGTCGGTGGGTAGTGCAAAATAAGAAGCTCACTGTAGTGATTCCAATTGTATGTTTTGCGTTCAAAAGTCTGCTGTGTACTTAACGTGATGTTCTTTCAGGTTGTTCTCTCTTTGGCTCGTTTAGGTGGGTACACTTTAGTAAGTAGTGCAATAATGTAAACTCATTTTGACGGTTTCACTTCAGTCATGACTAGCAGTGAGTTATCAAACATTCACACTTGTGGTTCTTTCGATCACGCACATTCTTTAAACTTTTTCAGTCACAATGAGTGAAATGTGAGCAATGTTTGAAACATGATTGATAGCCACTGAAACTCGTTTCTGCAGGCTCAGATTGCAATCATACAGTGCATTCTTTCAACGTGATTTCTCATCTGTGGTGGTGTGCAGCTTCGTAGTGTTAACATACAGATAGGATTTTCTTGGATATTCACGTTGGGACTCTCACTTTCGACACTCGTGGATATCATGATCACAACTTTTATGTGCTACTTCTTTCGCAGAAATCGCCCAACCTTTACGGAGTAGGTTATCATATAAGCTTTCCCACTGTACAGCTGACATTCATTCGTCTCATAGCACTATCCGTATCATTGACGCCCTGACGTTCTGGACAATTCAGAATGGCTCAATGACAAGGTATGACATATGAACGTAGGTCACGAGCTATCTTCTGAAGCCACCTTGTAGTACTGCGACCATCGCGACATTGATTTGCGTGAGCATCCGAGTCCGTGGTGTTCTGTCAAGTCTTGACCACTCAAATATCACAGTGGAAAGTTATGCCTCAGAACCTCATATTCCTAGGTCTTCACTTCATTGTAGCGAAATGTAAGTCATTCATAATTCTCGTAAATATATCTCATTTGGATACTGATGAAGCAGTACATGCAAATTCCCTTTTAGCTACGTGAGTCACAAGTCCGATGCGATGTTTACGACTACAGTTCAAACTAGTACGTCAGTCTCAATGCCAGAAAGCAAATCTGGAACGGAGAGCAGCACACTCCTACAAACGATCGATCCATGCCAATCGTCTTTCTGGAGAACTTTGAGCACGCACCTGAATCTTCGACCATACAACAGGAATTCTAGGTGAGATCCATAGACATCGTCGTTGAATGATATCTTACATCTCACATAACTACAGATGCAGTTTGATGCTCGCGAGTCGCCAACTGAAAGCAGGGCACCAACGTGGAAATTTGGTGCGTAGCTCTCCCATGTACTCTCAATATGACCTTATTGACTATTGTAGGTGCAAGTAAATGTCGAGGTGGAGACAGACAGCGGCGCAGACGATAACCCAGTTTGATGTTCTGTAGTTCGAACACTATGCTAATGACACCCTCACGACCCTTGTTTGCTGTGTCTCTGAGCTGCGAGCCCCTCGGCCCCGTCTATTGGTCAACATGTCGTGGGTACCTTGATGGCAAGCGGATCAATCGAATATCAAAATGTTCGACCAATAGTCAGGCTGAGGAACTTGAACGATATCAATAAACAATCCGGTTTCCAAGCTCTATTAGTCAAACAACGGGGAAACAGTAAAGAGACGAGAGATCCAAAGCATGCTTCTAGCAAGAGGATAATCATGAGCGTGATGTAAGTAAGAGGAAACTAAACATGTGGAACGAATGTGGTCCACGCCACTGTATCGTAAACGCCAGGGGGTAGCGATCGCAAGCTGGACACTAGAAGTACAATTAGTGTAACGCGTGCAGCAATATATATGAAAGCGGTGGTAACTACAGCAAATCTCACAACCCAACTGTCATGGGGGGAATCCGACAATATGACCCAGCCAAATGTCAGAAGAAGAGGTACCGATGCGGATGCCATCACAATGGAAGCCACACGCCATAGCACCTGATCTGTGTGCCACTGAAATAAATAATGCCAGCCCAGGCAATGCAGTCCTCCATATATGACGGCACAGAAGCATCCAAGGAAAAGTGTAATGACATGATCACGGTCATGACGATGTTCATCAGCATAGCCACCTAAAGACGGAATCCGATGTGCTCGGACAGCACAGGGAGAGACAGTCACGGCAGTGCCCATAAGACTCCTCAAGGGATAAATGAAAACGAGGAGATAATGATGCCAGCGATCCAAGGAGAATTCTGGATTTACTTTTCTAGAATGTGGGTGAATAAGAATGGTCTCAGGGGAGAATATTGACCACGTACTCATAGGTGAATGACAGATCCTGAAGCACCTCTGCTTTATTTTTGTTCCAGTGGATAGGATGAGGGCGTCGTACATCCTTAGGCTTATTCCACCACAGGCCATAGGCGATGCAGGACAGACAAACTATAGCCAGGGTGTCGATTTCGAGAAGGGTTACGGGACGTTGCTGGATGTAACGGGCGACAAGCTGCAGGATGAACCACCCCAGCTGCAGAATGGCGACTCCTTTGGATAGTGCGTCACCCTTACTTCGACCTTCTATGTCTGCCTCCACGATGTCAGGGATATCCACGTATTCATTTTCAATGAAGTCCATGAGTTCCGTGGGAGTAAGAGCAACTCGTGGCTTGTTATCGCAGTAAAGCATGAATCCACCCATCCATACGAAAAACCCATGCGTCGTTGTCCACTCTGAGACATCCGTTGAACGAAGTTAGTTACCGCACTCAAAGACCGAGCAAGCAACCGACCTCTGGGATTGCGACCTGCATCATGGGGAGCGCTTGAATGTGAACTGCTTTTTTCATCTGATTCTGTAAGTAATGTAGTTGTGCTCTGCCCTATATCTGGATCGTCGCCACAGGCCGGGTAAAATTTCGCATTGAATTTCTTGAAAGTGTCACGGGCACTGAGAAACTGTATTGTGGCCCAGGTGACCATGAGTTCTGGGGCAATGAGCGCCAGAACCATGATGAATAGGCGACGAAAGAAAATAGTTATTCTTCCCTCGTTCATACCCGGGATGTTTGGGTGAATTGCGGTCCATGTGCATGCGAATGAAGTTGCAGCGCAGCTCCAAATGATGTCCCACAAGGTCCTAGTATGACTGCTAGATGGTGAGCCGGCGACATCGAGTGTAGGGGTACTAGTACAATTGAGAGGAGGTAATGCACAAACAAATGGAATGCATAACAGTAAGAGAATAGCAGCGGAGGTGAAGGGTAGGAGGGCCATGGTAACTTAAGTTGAGAGCATAATTCTATTCATTCCGCTCCCCTCTTTAAAGGTCTAGAATGTATGGCAAGTTGGGATGTCGCAGGCTGGTGTATGTGGACATGTTGAGAGATCAGGGGCCCTAGGAGTGGCGCAAAAATGTGAGACATTTTTACTATGCATCATGAATCTCATCAGTGAACGGTGAACAAATGAGAATGATATTGAAAGTAATATGATGTTGAGCATCGCAACAATCAGCGTAAATTTGTCGACCGCTTTCATTTGGCATTGTCAAGGAATGTCCAATTTGCAAGCGCGCAGGTCTGGTAGCTCTCAGGCTGTTTACCTCAAGGACTCTTTCACCTGGATGGTTCTAAGAAACAACGTGCAAGCACAGGTTCATGCATTTCAAGATGGACCAAGTCTGAGAAGGATCATCAAGGAAGGAGGTTGCAGTGTGCGGAAATGAAAGGCACTTGGGTGATGCTATGTCATCCTCTGAGTTGAACCGGTGTGTATATTGATAGTGCAGCACGAGTCGAGGACTGTTGTGTAATGAAAGCATTTCGCTGATTTGAATCGGCGGATGTACTTAGCGACCGTGAACAGGTTCAGGAACTGCTTCAGTGGGCTTGTGGAATCAGCTGGGATGTATCGATTTATGGCGTAGCACTGTTTGCACGCCAAGTTTCAGGCAGATAAAAAGCCACTGGTCTTAAAACAGAGTCGTATGAGATACTATCATGTAATGGAAGCTGCAGAAACTCACGCCGTTCTTCCTCAAATAAGCGATCCCTGGCTGAGTGAGTTGGCAGTCGCGTTTAACGTTCGAAGTTACTTCATATCATCCGAGCCGAGGCTCTGGGTCGTAATCACAGACAGGATACGAGAGCTTCACTGCTTCCTGGATTCTGGAAGACTGGAGTATGAATCCAGAAATCGTCGGATTCCTCACCCTGCCTTGCCCCTTGCCTACTGACAAGAAGGCGATATTAATATGAAGGACAGCACGGACTTGACTAGCGCTGAGCCCTAGGGTACTAGGTGCCGCTGGTGCGTAGTAGTACCGTAAGTAGGAGTTGAAATTACATAATCTGAACCAAATCTGTTTTTTACTACGGTCACCCGGACCCCGGTGGAGTATGACCGCAACTTGAATGGACCTCATGCACATGACTCGAATGCGCACCGCTCGCCACAGACAGCTACAGACGCGCTAGATGAAGAACTATGAAGTGGCCGCGGTATCTGTTGATGACGAACGTTTCAATGCTCGAATGCCACAATCAGGTTAAAATTAATGTCAGGTCGAATTCTGATCGTCCCGCTTCGGCACTGCTATGATCGATGTTTGCGCCATGAGAAGCTGGGTCACCGGTGGCGAAGTATAACAATGGTGATACATGTGGTTACATAAAGTTCAGGAAAGTAGGACTTTCATCTCGGCTGCTGAGCGCTCGAGCCGCGAGGTCGACAAGGGTGGAGAATATTTATCATGATGTTCTGTTTGCATCATCACTAATTAGTTCTTCACCATAGCACAGCTGCCCTCCACGCCATTTTCTATCCTTTAGGAGTCTATTTTTCATACCTAGTCATCATCGGCGTAGTCACAGCAGTTACACCCTGATCCCTGCGTTAACTTGTCGCACTTCAGAAACGTCTAATTCGACGAAACATCTCACTGTTACTCGCCCCTTCGAGCGTATTGAAATCAAAAGAGTCCAGGATCGCACCGTAGTTCTCATACGGGTCGCACGCCTGCGTCATGATGATGATGGTGAGACTCAAAAGAAACGCATGTATGTGGATGACCGTCATTTACTGACTATGCAACGCAAAACGGTCAAACCTCCGATGCCATTGATAGAACCAGCTTTCCTGACGTTTCAATCAGTCTTCTTAATTCGACCTAGAAGATCTTACCCTTCGCTAGTTCAGTTCGAAGTCCAACCCTATTCCACATTATCATAGCCGCCCGGGCCCCTTGGCTACTTCACGAAGCACCCACGCTGGTCAATTTTATATATCATTCGATACCTTGAAATGATATTACCTGCTCTCTGCCAATGTATCCTTGTAATACTTCAAACGCCCATAAATCGAATATTTCAGTCCCTGATGCGGCGAGTGGTGGGTGGTGTTGATATATTGTTGCGCCGTTCCACGATTATTGATGCCTCGTTTATGGCGTGGGTCGATCAAAAGTCTGCGGTGGAAGTATAGTGTGGTGATGTCGGAGAAGAAGCTCTATAGATGAAGGTTAGGGGCGTATTGGTGGCAATGTGGCATCATAGTATTGCAGGAAGTTCTTGAGGGGGTATATAAGAGATCGATCTCGACGAAGACCTGCAGTCTGGTTGCAGCACAGCAGCTGATGAGCGCTCATGACCTCAATTGTAGATGGTGCTCGCTCGTAGTCCCGACATTCGATATTCACAATCGAAGGTATCCATAGATACGCCGTGTTCCCTCATAGGATCGTGTCCGACACGAGCTAGTAAGCATTTATCGGTGCTGCAGCTGATTTTAATATCTCTACCACTGCTAAAAATGCCGTCGAAGGCGATGAGGTTGTGATTCCAGATTTAATGAAAATGCCCTATTCATGTTTATATGACACAGTTTTTGAAGGTAAGGAGCTGCCCATGTCCTAGTATCTCTGCAAGATAAACAATGCAGCAGCGCTAGCTGTGTATTGTGTATTGGTATAACAACGAACCGCATCACGCCTGTAATGGTTCTTGCGGTAAGCAAACAACTCAGATGGGAAAAAGAACACACACCAAGTTCATCCAAATCGCCTCCTTCCAATTTTTCGGCGAGGGTTCTTTAGATCTAAAAAAGATGAACGGTTAATCCCAGCCACAAAGAAAAATAATGGAAGATGTCACACCCCTCGACATCTAAATTCTCTGTCCCGGACTTGAAATCCATCTCGCTCGGTTTCACCAGGGGCACCCGCATCACAAATTTCGCAGATGCATACAATACTGAAAATAGTACGATAGGCAAATAGGCTGTCACGAACGCCATGTGAGACCAATTCGCTTTCAAAAAGACTTGCCATCCGCTGAACTAAGATCATAGTCAAGTACTCGATAGCAGTGTGATAATCTGCATACTTACCAGGAGAGTTGCCAGCGACGAAGCAATCACCCACCACGATGCATATGGCTGGAGTCTCGAGGCATATGGTAAACGTTTCCTGTCATACCCTTGCGCCAATAATCCCTGGTGGAACCTGACGTGGGTCACCCCAACACAAAACCACGTTAAGAGTCCTGCGGTGGCAGTCATGTCCGCAAACCAGGTAAAAACGATGCCGGAGCTGGTGTTCACAACCATGTATGACAAAAGGGAAAACAAGGAGCAAAAAATGACGGCCACATATGGATGGCCTGAACGTGACGTGCGCAAGAAAAACTTGGGAGCATTGCCAGTAGCAGCAAGGCCATCTGTGAATTAATAATGAGAGTGTGAAATTCCGTGCATTTACGCACGTACATAATCCCCTCGATGATAAATATAAGTCGCTTGAAGAGGCGGACCAAGCAGAAGTTAGGATAACTGCGTTCAAAATCTGAATTGGGTCTTATAGAAGGGAGCCGCGACGAGCATGGAAGGACATACTGAAGGCAGATATCTAATCCCAGCCTGATTGATAGCGATCACAAACGGAGATGACGAGGCATCGGAAGAGTTAAGATTCAAAAGAGGGTTGTTGGAAGGGACAAGCAACCCGATGACGAAGATGCTCCCGACGTAAAATAGGAAAATTCGGATGTATACTGTCCGTATCGCTCGTGGCATGGTGTATCGAGGGTTCTTCGCTTCTGCGGCTGCTATCTGAAAACATAGTGATGATAGATTTCGTATTAATTTTAAAGAGAGAACATACAGTGACAACCTCGGTTCCAATGAAAGAAAAGGCAGCCTGGATGAGTACACGAATGAATCCTAGAAACTGCCCTTTAGCTCCAGCTATCCCATCGAACTGTACAAACGGTCCGGGATTCTTCCAGTACCGGAACCCAATATGATCATGACTTGGGCCACCTCCGAGGTCAAGCACAATACCAAGGACGAGGAGCCCTGTTATCGTGACGACTTTGATGGACCTGATCGACGATAAGTCTATACGGCCATCAAGGCAAAAATAGCTGCTCACGCGAAAATAAATTCCATTTCTCCGTAGGTCCCTGAAGATTATATCAATGCGTACAATTGACATTCATTGAAGCAAGGGACAAACCAACGCCGAAAAGATTGATTCCAACAGCAACTACCAGACACATGGTGATCCACACCGCACTGTTAACTTCGATATTCCAATACTTAACGAGAGTAGCAGCGGCCGATAACTCAGCTTCACCAAGTGTAAAATGGGTTGAATCTGAGAGCACTTCATGGTCATACTCACCAGGCATCGTAAACTGATAAAAAAAATTAAGCCATGAGGATCTTCGAACCGTTCACTACAATATTGCATCTTACCGTCCAACAGTACCAGCAATTCCAACCCATCGCAAAAGAGAAGGCTGGATCGACAAATCTTTCCGCAAGTCTGACGTGACCGCCTGAAATGGGAAGGAGAGTAATCATTTCCCCGACGGTTATCTGTTATATAACCAGGAAAGTGAAAACACAAAAGCACGCCAAAGAGGAACTCACCAAAACGCAGTAGCACATCGTCCCCATGAAAATATATCCGAGTAGAAGTCCCACAGGACCACCCTCCGTCAATCCCGTCGCAGTGCCTAGAAATAATCCCGTACTAACAACGCCTCCGATGCTAAAATGAAAATTTATGAGACACGTGTGGTTTTCAAGAAGACGACTCGCTTGATCATGGCAACATGACGCTCCTTCAGGCGTCGTTGAAGCGGCGTCCTCAGAAACAGGTCAGGGGTATCGGGCAGTTCACTATGTTCAACGTCATAGACGTTGGCAAGCACTGTTGGCGTCCTTTTTGTGAAACACAAAGGTACCATCTTTCTTGCACGAAAACCTGTGTTCCCTGAGATTGGACAATAAATACGCCTCGATATCATATCAGCAATTATCTTCAATCTTCACACGTGACAGTCTCCTGACGCATTGAAGATTTCATATCGGCACAGATTAGAAGGTCACAGCTACGACCTCATTGGCGCGACTCCGTTGGCGACTCCGGTATTCTGCAACGATACACATTGCATTCCGAAAACGGTTTGAGGCGTGTACTAGTGGATTGCGGAAGAAAGCGTAGATCGGTGTATTGACCGATGCAAATAGTGCAAGGCTGCCGAGCTGTTTCGTGTTGGACATCTGATGCTTCAAAGCAACAGAATGAAACTTTGGATCATAAGCGCACGCTCAACAGAATTCTGGGACGGACAAAACATTGGATATGCTCTCCACCAAAAACTCAAATCCGGCAGGGTTAAGATATCAATACATTCCTGAACAGATCACCAGAAGCTAAAAAACAAACTGGCGTAAATTATCTTCCGCATTAATAGGATGAAACACTGCATGAGGAAGATGCGAAGACCACTGTTCAACGTTTATCCTGTGAAGGTAACGATTCCATGTTAGTTACCACTGACGGAACGGTTGAAGCACGTAACCGACCTCTAAACTTGTAACCTGCAGATTACAATATTCTTTCATCTAATTTCAGAGCATGCAGTTGCGCTCTCTCCGGTGTTTATAGGTGTGGCGTGCACCACATGCATCATTGTTCTTTGCAGCGCCACAAAAATTACCACGTATCTTAGTGATTGCAACTTCTGGGGCAATCAGTGCCATAACAATGATAAGCTAGCAACGACAAAAAATACTCACTTTCTCTGTCTATAGCTGGAATTTTCGGGTGGAATGCGGTCCACGCGCAAACACATGACATCGCAGCACAGCTCCAGATGGTCCTACAATGTTCTAGTGTTGCCGCTGGATGCGTAGCATTTTCCTCCTATCAGTAAGGAGGCGATTTATGGCTGCCGACTGCGCTGAATAGAGCTGAGAGAGTGATATGCACTGGGTCGGAGTGGAACGATCCACTGGCAATGGCCGAGCCATGGGTCAGGACTCAGCGCTCACCAGCTTCAATGAAAATATCGTGGGGAGAGCTCGCAGGAGAATATGATGTTCATGAGGTCGGTGAAGACATGTAGCGTCGAGAAATGATACGAGCCAACGCCGAATTCGTTAGGGTGCAGCACATTGAGCACGGCACCGAAATGAGGGCGGGGTTTGATGCGGGGTTCGGGGTGGGAAACTCATTAATGCCAACTCCATTACCGGGCAAGCCATACTAGATGTCCACGGGAGTTCGCGCCTTTTTGGCAAAACGGTTATTACTCCACATCGCACAAACAAACAAAATTAATTATTTGACAGTTCGATAGCGTGACATCGAAAGTACAACGTCTGCTAGTTTCTTTTTCGAAAATTGACGTGTTGAGTCCAGCGGAGAGTTACCGCGCAGAAAAGTGCATTTTCCCTAGAGTTCGCGCACTTTGTCACACTATGTCACACGTCTGCCGCAATGCCTTTTCACGCTCCGCAGAATTCGCACCGTTATAAATGTTGTGAAGTTGTGCATGTGTAAAGCATTTCGGCATTGCGGAGTTTTGATTACACAATCTCTATGTAACGCTTTGGGCAGATTGTCACGTCTGGGGCTTATTTCTTTATCGCAGATGATCCTGACAAGCATGTGCCCCGAATAAATTTGTTTTAGTATTCTCTAATCATGTATATAACCATCTCACAATATTCCAGAATTATATGTGGAGATCTGACCTTTAGAGTGAGCCTTCTATGCCTCTCGCACTGATAAGTTGCCCATGGAACAAGATCTACTTCGATTTTCTTCAAAAAAAATATATGGCAGTGTGTATTATGTTTGGGCGAATCCAGATCTATCATGGATAAGGATTCTGTGCAGAATTGCGTGTGCTAGAGTCAATGCGCGGACTCTTGGGACACACGGACTCGTGGGACCATCTAGTATACTCGGGCCTATGCAATGAGCGAACCGCAGGACATCTACGACTCTATTATGCATACTTATTTAATCGAAGTTTCTTGTTGTCTCATACATATCAACTCGCTGTCGACACATAATGCACAGTGAGTCCAGCTAGAATTCAGCCAAGCCACTATCCATCGATAGCCACGCATTCTGACCTTCCATCACAGCGCCCACCGTTTAACTAATCTCTTGAAGCAAGCCTTAGACGAAGGGAGACAGCAGTTCCTTCCATACTACTGTTGCCTTATGCTCATATGTTTATGAGTTCTACAAACCTATCGGGTTCTTGAGACGTTTGCACAGATCGTCTCCAACGCTTTTTTATACTCGTTTTGAGCTCACTCTGCACGTTCCGCTCTGACCGGCTGGACGCTATTGACGACCTGGCGCACGTTGGCCTGTCACGAACGTGACCGAATGGCGCAGCACTTTTCACAATCAAGGTATCCGCCTCAAAGCCAGGAGCAAGTCACAGATGGGTGTCAGAATAATTTTCGATGGTATAAATGCACTATTCACTGAGCCTAACATGATATTGAGTGGTAGCCCGTGGCGAAGCACAGCAAAGGTATGTTTCAGGTTTCGGCGGGCTGTACTACCATGCTTCTTCAATTGTGCTAATTAGATTTTCTCCGTAATACCCCTCAGGCTCCACTTCATAGCTTGTGTCTCCAAGAAGTTTCGCATCTTGCCATTATCTGCGCAGCCACAACTTTTTTTAGTCCGGCACCCGAATACTACACCTACATTCAAGAATAACCGATCTGTCGACTTCTCTTCGACCCACCTCTCGCTTTCTTGGGCGCGCCAAAACCGAGGGAATCGATGGACGCAAGAGCATTATGATGGCGCTCGTGCGTGGATCACAGGGCCTTCAAGAGCAACCGCACGTGTCTCCTGCTCTATGTTTTCAATGTCGGACACTGGCGGCCTACCAAGCCAATTTTTTGTGGCTTTTTCCACTATGTTCTACCAAGTCCCGCATTCGCAAGCCTCTGGCACGCCAGAAACCCATGCACACGTTCCTGTCTCGAAGCAGGGTCTTGCCTTGAGGCATACGCATGATACACACGAGACTCTACCTGGCCGCTTTACATTATCACTTCCTTCAATTATAGTTCTTCGGTGGTTGTTCTATAGTGCCACCAAATTAGTTGAGCGTGGATTCGTATCGGCAAGCCGAAGGGCTGATCCGAATAGTACTGCTGAGTCGTTATCAGTGCTGCCTTCCAAGACGATTGATCATCTAATATCGTTTGACACAGGAGTTGCAACAAATATAGCTGCTGGCCGTTTCGTCGCTTGTGGTGAATATTAAATCTTCATTTTGGAGTGCACAGATGACCACTGGCGGCCGTTTTCTGCGGTCATTGAGTGGCTAATGGCCACTTCATTTTGTATCATGTGGCATCATGGCTACCCGGCCCAGCATACCAATAGAAGAGAAACCGTCCTTCTTTCCATGCCAAGTCTCTCCAAGGAGACTAGAGCCACTGCGAATGTTCCATTGGAAACGACAGATTTGAATTTTGTTCTCCACCACTTGAAGTTTAGTCTGGCGTGCTGCAAATATCCAACATGCTCGCACTCGCGCACCGCTGTACAAGAACGACCTTCATGCAAGATGCTATACCGTCTTCCACCAGAAAGGATCGACTCCAAGGATGTGATACAAATTTTTACTGACGGCTCTGGACATAACGGAAGCATAGGAGCGGCAGCGGTTCTACTGCGGGAAGGGCAAGCACCCCGCACACTAAAGTATCACCTAGGATCAAACAAAGTACACACCGTATATGAAGCAGAAGTGGTTGGACTCACACTAGCTGCCAAACTCCTAGCGACAGAATGCAATGTCACCTATCCGGCATCCATCTTCATAGATAATCGTGCAGCCATCCAATCCGGTGAGAGTCATATTGCGAAATCGGGCGGATACTTAGTAGAACATTTCCGCAGACTAACAAGAGAGCTCGCGCTACGCAGAGAGCATCACGGAAGCGACTTCGATCTAACAATCCGTTGGATACCAGGACATAAAGGAGTGATAGGTAATGAACTCGCTGACGCAGCAGCAAAAGAGGCAGCAAAGGGCCCCAACGAATCAAGCGCCAAACACAGACTCCCAAAGTTCCTTCAAGATGGTCCGTTGCCGGACAGTATATCCGCCCTGAAACAGTGGCATGAGGACACCCTACAGAAATGCTGGAGCAACATATGGAAAAACTCACCCAGATACGCCAGAACCAACGCGATCGACCCCACCATGCCATCCAAGAACTTTCTCCGCCTCGTAGCCCTCAGTCCATGTCGACAGACCAGCATATACACTCAACTCCGCACCCGCCATGTACCCCTCAACTACCATCTACACCATCTCGGAAAGAGCACAACCCCACACTGTCCCATATGCCCCGGTACAAACGAAACCATCCACCACTACCTACTTGATTGCCCCCAATATGTCCGCGAACGTCATATACTCTCTAATGTCCTACGTCGTCGAGCCTCCTCCATCTCCTTTCTCCTAGCGTCAGAAGAAGCAACTAAACCGCTTATGCGTTTCATCAACAGTACAGGACGCTTCAAAGCGACATTCGGTGAGATCCCGCTCATATAAAAAGCTCACTCTTTCGCATATAGCCTATATACTACAGAATAATACGCCCGCGACCCACAACCCAATCAAACCCAACCTACAAAACGCAAAAACTAATTCAAAACTAAATTCAAACTAATCCAAACTAATTCAAAACCACTCCGCACACCAAGGAAACGCTGCTTGCAGGACAAACAGCACTGGAGGACCGGAAGTAGCAGGCTAGAACGAGGACAAAGATGAATGAAGGCCCGAGCACGAGACAAAACGAAGAAGCAAAGACATCGCACCAGAAACACAGCGAAAAACGCCAAACGGCACTCCTACTCACCTTACCTAGTTCTCACCTACCCATACTTTACCCCAACAGCCGTTCCCTTGTACGAAGTTGGCAGTCGGCCTTGGCCCGACTACACGCCAATGGAGTACGTGTCAAAGACCCCAGAACACATACAGTACATACACACTTACGATAGCTAGCCAGGAGTAAGCCCCCCGCACTCGAATAGGGCTATGTCCGACATAGGGTCTATGACCCCAAAGGACAATAACAATGATTTAAAAAAAAAAAAAAAAGGATCGACTCCTCAGCTGCTCGTAGCAGCATGTTTCAACGAAATCACTAGGCACTGAAATGCGAGACAGCTACATAGCACTGATCGCAAATCAGAAAGTCAGTCGATAATTTCGCATCTTTATATATTCCAATCTTTATTTCATGTAGCTCAGAACTGAATTATATGTACTGTACTCAAAGATCGCGTCTATCCTGCTGATCTTTGGGAACTAGTTAGGGATGACGGAAGTCATACAATGGTGGAACGAATGCTCATAGAAGAGAGAAGGAAACAGTGTCAGATAGAGGTGACACTGTATAGCCAGTCTATCGAAGGCTTGGAGCGATTACGGCCACGTAAGCTTCTTCGACTTTGGGATGCGGATGCGTAGTCTGAACGTCTTGCTAGGCCTCTTACAGCCATACATGAAATCAGGGTGCCCTCATCAATGTTAAGGACAGTGGCCGCACCTTTGGCCTGTTCGATAGCTACGCGAGAGAATTGGTCAATGAGGGACGAGGAACTCATCCCAGCTGCTGGGTCTTCGATTGAAAACCTTCACCTCTGGCCACCATTCTGAACGTCAGTGCTGTAATGTCTGCTTGACTCCATTGATCGTCTCTCTACAGTGCAGCAGCCCACATTGTCCCTCTTGGGCACGCGAGTCACCGCCAGCATAAAAAAAGCCTTTTGCAAGGCATTCCAAGCAGAACTGAACATGTCAGGCGAGACTGATGGCCAAGTCGATCCGTAATACGCGTGACAACGCTTATCTGCGCATTTTGATGCGGGATTTGCTTGCCTTGCACGCAAAGATGTGCCGTGCCAAAGACCGACAAGGGCATTGGCGAGGAGATTGATGATGAGGACAGTGACGAGGGCATGCACGAGGGTACGGACGACGACCACGAAGTTCATAATGTCATTTTCATTTTCCAGTAACGATTCGTTGTGTAAATAGTTAGTTACTATTGATCGAAGGGTTCGCACATTGAATTCTCCTCTGAACTTGGGCCTGCAGGTTGGCGGGACCTTGAACTTGTAGTTTTCCTTTTATCGTGGTCACCGCGGGCTCGGGGAGGTCATGCCTAAGAATTGAATTGAAGCAGATAAGTATAGCCTTGTGCAGAAATACAAAGCTAGCAAGTTCGTCACGTTCGCAGATGAGAGTCTGTGGCTTTGCAACTCTGCATGGTAGAAGCTCCTAGAGTGCTGAAACGGGTGCACTGTCCTTCAAAGGATCACTTAAGTCTAAAGAGAGCCTTGCACCACCATAACAACAGGATTCAGATTGATGTCCAGAAAAAACGGGCTGCATGCTACTGGTCTGGAGTGTGCTTTGAAGTTGGAGTGCCTGCGGAGAACTTGCACATGTATAAGTACAGGTACTGTGAGTGTGCGAACCAGATTGACTCGCGAAGATGTGAAGCAGAGTGTCGGCTGAACGTTGTTCGATGCAAGGTCGTTGAGACACCGGCAACGCCCGAAAGACTTGCTTACACAGCATATATGCGGCTCAGTTCCGATGATTACTTTTAACTTGCATTCCCCATGTTCTAGTCAATATGGATTAATAATATCCCTCTCTCTCAATACATACGCATTCAGACCCAGGAAGGCTGAGCTCAACGTTTGGAATAGTTTTTAGACGTGCACTGCTATGTCGGACATCACCGAGCCAACTTACCTCGCGGCATTCTCCACATGGACCGTCTTCCCTTCTCCGGCGTTTGGGTCAATCACACTGTGGTTCCTGTCATGTCTTGCCTTGAGGCCAGTCTACCTCGCCGTTGATTTACAACGCTTTGCATCACTTCTTTCGATTATAGTTTGAATTCAATCGATCTCGGTCCCAAACTGAAGTGACAAGACGATTATGAATGAAGCATTGCGACAAATATAACTAGTAGCTGTGATCCGGCTACCATAGTTCATTTTGTGTCATGTGACATCATGGTTATTGACACTTCATCGCCACAAGCATGCATTAGAAGGAACGGCTTGTCGAGATTCTAGACTTTAAGATAACGGATCCTCATCAGATTACAATCTCGCCCGCCGCCAAGCTCAACCTGAATATAATCGTATCCCACTACCACCCCACAGTACGTCACTCATTCAACATGCCATCCCATCTTTCACCGGCCCTATTCGATTCATCCGCTGCTCGTATTAGCATCTTTCGAATCTCCAACTCACTAGGCACTGAACTGTTGGATGACTACATCGGACTCATAGCAAATCAGAAGGTCAGTCCATACCCCGCGACTTTCAACCTCTACATCCTGATCTGTATCTCATAGCTTCGGACTGAATTATTCGTCTTGTCGTTTCTACTCAAAGATCGCGTCTATCCTGCCGATCTTTGGGAGCTAGTTGGGGAGCGTAGTATAGAAACGAAGCAAGAAGAAACATTGCGATTACATCAGAATTCTTGTACTGGTGGGGATGACGGAAGTCATGCAATTGTGGAACGAATTCTCATAGAAGAGAGGAGGAAGCGGTGTCAGATAGAGGTGTCTCTGTACAGCCAGGCCATTGAACGCCTCTACCGAACGCGTGAGTTTCTTTGACTTCGGGATGTCGATTTTTGGTCTAAACAAACCTTCTTTGCTCTGTAGCATTACCATATTTCGGCGATTCAGCCACGCATAAGATCAGGACGCCCTCAGCAATGTCGAAGAAAGAGGTTACACCTTTGACCTGTTCGATAGCTACGCAAGAGATGTGTGAAGCTTGGATAACTAGGAGCGAAGCCTACCTCATCCCAGCTGCAGAACCCTTCATTGAACCTTTCTCACCTTCGGACGGCTCTACTACTTCAGGACAGGATCAATTAACCACTACCCAGGAAGAAATACCAAAATCCGCAATTTTGAACGTGAGTACTGTAACAATCTGCTTAGCTGCGCTCACTATCACTCTAGCACATCACCCCTTCATTACCCCTGTTGAGCACGTGGGTCACCACTACAGCTAAAGAAGCCTTTTACGAGGCATTTAAATTAGAACAGGCCAGTCAAGCAGAACTAATGGCAAAGTCTCTTGCGAACATGCGTGACAACGGCTATATGCGCACTCGCGAGCGGGATTCGTTCACCTTGCGAGCAAAAATGCGCCGAGCCAAAGCTGAGATAGACCTATATACCCTCGCCATCGACAACACCCATGAATTCAATTTCTCTGACAACAGTGGGTACAGATCGTTCATGTGTTTTCTGTCACTACTGATGCCATTCAGGTTCATCAACGTCCTCTTCTGATCAAAGTCTTCCGCAGTCTCTGTTCGAGAAAGTGTACCGCTATGAGGAGGATGGCGACGATGATACGGACGATGACTATAAATATTGGTAATGTAGGTTTTCATGTAATGGTCCCATCCTGTAAAGGCACACATTAATACTAGTTACTACTGATCGAAGGATTCGAGCATGAGACTTACTTCTGAACTTACCTGTGTAACGGGAAGAACTGCAAGGGGAACCCAAGGCCAAACCTTCATAGCGGGAGGATATGGCTCTATCTATCGAGGACAGCTACCACACGCGCAAGGACTACCGACTACGAGCCAAGACTCCTGCCACCGCACCAGTACACCTGCTACTGCGCCCGGACCGCCTAGGTCTGATAGGACGCCCTGCTCCACCTGCAAGTTGGTGAAAGTTTAGACTTGAACTGTTCCTCTGATCGCGATAACTGTGACCCCGGGAATCCATGCACCGAAATAGAATTGAGACAGAAAGTACGGCCTCCGTTCAGCTGGCATACGCGATCATTTTGATGAGATGGAACCAGGGCAAGTAGAAACACACTGACTTGCCGTTGACATGATCTGGATCCGACAGTGTTGATGAAGACACGCCACTCGGATAGACTTCCGCTATACATGTCACATATAATATTGGTATGCACTCTGATTCGAAAGACGTTCTTTCCAGACCTCATTTGATTTCTTCCTAGTTTTCGTCATCAAATCTCTCTCTGCTCTAGATCTCACCGATGAAGCTTAAGATTGACTTGTGGTTTCGATAAAGAGGCTTCTCGCTCGTTTCCATGTGCTCATGGTGCCAGGTGCGATATGGTTAGTCCCGGTTATTGAAACAAGTTTAATGTTTGAATCCCGTCCGACCTCAGTACTACATCCGATGACGCGTTGATATGAGCCGGAGCATACCCGGATCAACATGCTTTGATTCAGGGACTTCCACCGGCCCCTGTCCCGCATGAGGCTTTACATGGCTCTTTATTCGCATCGCTTGTTCTATTTTTACAGGATCACAACATCAGACGGGACCATGATATCGCTGCGGCCGAGCAGGGTCATATCAGGGCCTCAAGAGCTCAATAATCTCATCCGAGTCAAAGTCGCGATAGAGCCAAGACTATATCGACTTGGATATGGATCGTGAGTTTGACTCGCCGTCATAAACTTGTACACCTAAACCTACTTGAACTTTATATTTAGGTCATTTTGAAAGTTTGGCTATATGATACCGAACGAAAAACTTCTTTCTTCCAAATCAACGCCTGCGAACTAAATTCATGGTGAAATCTGAATACCCGTGAGGGACGTGCTGCGCGTTCCCCTATATATAGCATACTGGTGAGCACTTCTTATCAATCATGATGCCCTTCGCAAAGCTTCTGTTTATTTTTACGGCTGCAGTTTGTTTTTACATCTCCCCAGAGCCTGCCGAAGGTGAGTCCGCATTCAACGGAGATGCTTGTCGCATCTGTGTAGTGGTTCCTGCAGGTAAAATTAGTGCCCACTCGATTGGACACGGATTTGACTACCAAACTAGAACAGTCTGGCGGGTGTAGTCAAATAAATCAAGGTACGGGAAATGCTGCAGTTGGAAGACGCTTGAAGTATAAGTACAGATGCTGGCAGCGAGGGTACGGTTTAGATCGATTCATGTCCAGGTGAAACGGAGTTGGAGTTTCAAACTTCAAGCGTTGGACAGTGTATAATTCCAAACTACATAGGCTAATCAAGATACTGATATCATACAAAGATAACAATTTATGCGAATATTGCTGTTATGACAGATCGGATGAATGTTGGAAGATACAAATTGAGCAGAACACGCTCCACTTTCCTCTCTACAGCCAAAATCGAGAACGCAGTGAAGCGATCTCCGCCTTCCGCCCGCTTCTCGCTCATTTCGGCCTTGTCTTCATGCCTTAAGCGTCAGTGAAGTACGTTTAGTGAACTGAATAACATACCGTGCCTTTGGTTTTGTCCGCATCTTTCTGCTGCTTATTATCATTCTGGGTAGACTATCTGTCAATCAGCCCCACGACATACGGTCTCGAGCAAAAGATTTTCACTTACGGAGCCTGATCCAGACGGCTTATGGCCATTGGCGGCTCCATTCCCATTTGGATTCGGCTTCGAATTTGGGTCTGATTTTGTCTGCGACTGCGCGCCCTGTTGATTAGTAGCATGGCTGTTGAGTTCGAACACTTCAATCAAAATCCTGTCCCACTCCTTGTCTGCATCAGCGGAGGTCAGGTGCCTGCCCTCCGCTGCGCTCCTCGCACGGTCACGAGCCTCGAATATCCTGAGGAGGGTGGGTACTTTGAGTTTCTCACCCTCCTCATCGGTTATTCGGGTCGTCCGCTTGCATAGGAGTTTGTATGCAGGCAAGAGGAGCAATTTGTCGATCTTGTGTTTGTCGTACGTGGTGATTTTCTCAATGGGTTCTATATCGAGTTTCTCGAGCTCATCGATGGCAAGCTTCTGCATATCTAGGAACTGCCACTTTGTCGAGAGCTCCAGTATGGTGAGCCAATGCTCTTTTGGTTCACTCAGGCTTCCGCGTCTGTACGAGCTGTGACAGGGATCAACGACGATGCCTGCGAGATATAATAATTTAAATGGATGCTTACGGACTATACCAGACCCATAAGAATTTCGTAAAATCGACAGCGGTGACTTCATCAAGTCGAAATGCACTGGTATCGGAAGTTCCCCCCTGGGGAGTTTTTGCAAATTCCTGAATGAAAAATTGCGATTCGCGCTCAAAGAAGTGTCGGTGGACACGAAACAGAGTCCCTTCAACCTGCTCGCATATGGCGATCAGCGCGAATGAGACGCACAGAAGTTGTGGCGTACGTGGAAGGTGATATTACCATCTTGGAGATAGTATTGAGGATGAGAGTTCATTCGGGACACGCCATTCTGAGAGCCGTTTGCCATGGTTAATATGAGTGCAGATGATGGTTGTGTGCTAGGATGTTATCGAAGTTCGCGGGAATGATACGACCATTTTATGTGCGACTCGAGCGCTTGAAGGGTCAAAACAACACTGTGACTCGCTTGAAGATGTACCGGGACGATCCGCTGGAACTGCCGTATTCCTAGGATTTAGAAGCCTCGTGTTCGTTGTTTCGGGCAAGCACCCTTGGGAAGGAAAGGCGAATTGTGACCCGTTCCGTGGCCAGGACCATCGATGGGCCCAATGAAGCCTGATACTACGATGGCACAGCATTTCAAGTGAATTCAGTGCATATGACGCCCACAAATCGAAGTCTGATAAATCAAAGATAAGACAAATTGAACACGAGGCGTTCATGTGAGTTCTCATTTGATTCAATTGCTGCGGAGAGCTAAAACTATTGCCTTGAAGGAACATGCTGATCGTTTTTCCAATATGAATGTCGTAAGAGGCGAGTCAGCGATGCGGCAGCGAGTATGTATGTGTCCTGAATCTTCTGGAACAGTACTCACTGCCGCCCGTAGGCAGTACAGGCATTACATATGGAGAGACAGACCAGTGAAGAGAATCTGCATCCCTGGCGCTCTGAAGCTGAGACCATCAAGAGCATTGCATGACAGGTTGAACTTCTGAAGCCGTAGTTAGGGCTTATCATTCAAATGAAGAGCTCCTCGTGTCTACCACAGCGCTAGCAGTTTTTACATGGGACTCAAGGAGCTCTGAGCAGGCGTGAAAATATGACTGAAGTCGCTGAGCGACGGAACGCTGATATTGAAAACGGTACAGTACCACCGGCAACGCCCGAAAGACTTGCTTACACAACCAATACTTTGTTTGCATCAGTTGGTACTCATTTGTCCCTGCTAATTTGTATCTGCCGCCACTTATCCGTACTCATTTGCACCTGCTCGGTTTTTTTGGTTCATACTTGCCCTAGGGCCTAGGCTACTTGTTGTTTGCAGTGAACACAACATTCTAAATTATTCCGCCTAAATGCATGATCGTTTAGTGTTTTTTTTAACAATCACAATTCTGGTATCTTCGATAACTCACCTCGTCGTCCAACCCTTCAATGCTGACTTTATCATGTATTTCGCTTCGCTGGATTTTTTTGGCATTCGGTTCAAGTTTGAACCCCCCAAAAACCGAACCTGACCGTTCTGAACCGTTCGCGAGGATCTGTTTCTGGGTTCAACTATTTTTTTGAACAGGACCATGGTTCAGTTCTCGGTTAACCGTTCTCGTGCAGCACCCTAAGAACCGGATTGAACCCGACCACGCCAGCACCACATGCTGAAGCGCGCAGGTGAGTCATTTAATTGAATCCTGATTGCACAGCGACCCGCTCATACTCACGTCATCATCGGCACAAACTAAGTCATCCCAGCAATCATCATCTCCTGTGCAGGTTTGATCTTCGGTCTTACATGCGCCGACAAACATAGATGCTATCAAAGCAAAAACAACGGCGAGGAAGGCTAAACGCATTTTCTGTGCGAGGTGAGTGTAATCTTTTTATTTATTCCAATCTTTGTTCATTGAGCACGATACCCTATGTAGGACATTACTTTATAATTTACTGGACCCCCTGTTTCCTTTGTCTGATATCTCTGAAGATGAGAGAACACTGTAGGACGACGACCAGCTTCTATATCCTGCATATACTTATGAGCACGATTCTGATCGATTTGGCAGAATTGTTCTTGCTGCCACATGGCAGAGGTTTCGGCAGAAACTGCAAAAACATATTCAATTGATTACGACCATTGAATCTTAAGCTGTCTGCAAACATCGACAATGTAAGGATCGCATATCCTCTGTGCCCCGACCATAACTTCAAATTAAAACTTAGAACTACAGTTCTATTCCTCCACGTGACACACTGACGCGAAGAAGCACCACGTTTCGCGTCCGTGTCACGCGGATACATTCCTTTTCGTTTCACTCTTTCATCATCGTTTCGACTTACCGCTATACTCGCTACCTAGACTCAACCCTGGCTCCAAACTACTCTCAGACCCTTTCCTTTCGTCATGTTTTCCCCATTCTCACTTCGCTGTACCGAAATCTGTCAAAAACCGCTACGAAATTCTCGTCATTTCACCCAAACCGAAATCGTTTATACCGCCACTCATTCAGTTTCTCGTACTCCTTTCCTTCCTCGCTCTAGCTACCTGTTAGGCTCAACGCCACTCCCTTCAGCGTCCGTTTTCACCTAATCAATGACCTATTCGTGCCCGAGGACCCTTACGGTTCGCAACTATATCTACTCATGTACATTTTGATATCTACAGCGAAATATACCCAGTTCCCGCTCCAAGAACCTCAGAGAAATCCTCCTAGAACGTGTCCGTCACCGCATATCACCTTGTCGTATCGTTTTCTATCATCTCGTCTCAAGTCTCACTCTTGCTCACATTCCCTATCGAACTCAAGTAGCCGCCTTACAACAATTCTCTTCTTCTCCGCGAATGCGCACTCGCGAGCGGGATTCATTCACCTTGCAAGCAAAAATGCGCCGAGCCAAAGCCGATATAGATCTATATACCATCGACAACACCCATGAATTCAATTTCTCTGACAACCGTACGTACAGATCGATCACGTGTTCTCTGTCACTACTGATGCTATCCAGGTTCATCAACGTCCTCTTTTGATCAAAGTCTTCCGCAGCCTCTGTTCGAGAAAGTGTATTGCTATGAGGACGTCGACGATGATACGGACGAGGACTACAAATATTGGTAATGTAGGTTTTCATGTAACGGTCCATCCTGTGAAGGCACACATTAATACTAGTTACCACTGATCGAAGGACTCGAGCATGAAATTTACTTCTGAACTTACCTGCGAGTTGGTGAAAGTTTAGACTTCCACTATTCCTCTTATCGCGATCACTGTGACCTCGGGAATCCATGCACCGAAATCGAATTGAGACAGAAAGTATGGCCTCCGTTCAGCTGGCATACGCGATCATTTTGATGAGATGGAACCAGGACAAGTGGAAACACACCGACTTGTCGTTGACATGGTCTGGATCCGACAGTGTTGATGAAGACACGCTACTCGGATAGAGTTCCGCCATATATGTCACATACGAGATTGGTATGCACTCTGATTCGGAAGGGGTTCTTTCCGGACCTCATTTTATTTCTTCCTGGTTTTCGTCTTCATCTCTCTCTGCTCCAGATCTCACCGATGAATATCGACTTGTGGTTTCGATAAAGAGGCTTTTCGCTTGCTTCCATGATCATGCTACGAGGTGCGATATGGCTGGTTCCCATTATTGAAACAAATTTAGTGTTTGAATCCCATCCAACTTCAGTACTACATCCGATGACGCATTGATATGAGCCAGAGCATACCCAGATCAACATGCTTTGATTCAGGGACTTGTCAAGAGGTCCACCGGCCCCTACCTAGCATGAGGCTCTACATGGCTCTTTATTCGCATCGCTTGTCGTCGACCCTTATACTATTTGTACAGGATCGTAAGGCATCAGACGGGTCGTGATCGCGCCATTATGATATCGCTACGGCCGAGCAGGGTCATATCAAGGCCTCGGTAGTTGAAGCTTGAAGGATCTCATCACAGACAAGCGAGTCAGCCGAGACGATATCGACTCAATTGGATTGGATATAGATCATGAATTTGACTCACCTTGTATGCTACGCGTATAGCACACTGGCGAGCACTTCTTATCAATAATATCCCTCGCAGACCCTTCATTTATTTTTACACCTGCAGCTCGTTTTCACATCTCTGGGTTTGACTACTAGCCAGGAAATAGTCTGGCAGGTGTAATCAGAGAAAGGGAAATGTTGCAGCTGGAAGACACTTGGAGTATAAATACAGGTGCTGGCAGCGAGGGTACGGTTTAGATCGACTCAAGTTGGAGCGGGGCGTCCCATCAGACCTAGGCAGGTCGGATCCGGGCGCAGTAGCAGGTGTCCTGGCGCGGTGGCAGGAGTTCTGGTTCGCAGTCGGTAGTCCTCGCGTGTCGTAGTCTGTCCTCGATAGATAGAGCCGTAGCCTCCCGCTATAGAGGTCTGGCCTTGGTTCCCCTTAAATCCGTCCCGTTACAACGTCCAGGTGAAACGGAGCTCGACTGGACCTCAAATTCTCTCTGGCTGTTGGAGCTTCAAGCTCTCTTATTCGACAGGGTATAATTGTAAACTACATAGGCTGTGCAGCATCAAGAGACCTGATATCATACAAAGATAACAATATACGCGAATATTGCTGTTATGACAGATTGGATGAACATCGGAAGGTTCAAATTGAACAGAGCGCGCTCCACTTCCCTCTCTACAACAGAAACCGAGAGCCCAGTGAAGGAACCTCCACCTCCCATCTCCCTCTCTATAACAGAAGCCGAGAGCCCAGTGGAGGAACTTCCACCTCCCGTCTCCCTTTCTACAACAGAAACCGAGAGCCCAGTGGAGGAACTTCCACCTCCCGTCTCCCTCTCTACAACAGAAGCCGAGAGCCTAGTGGAGGAACCTCCACTTCCCGTCTCCCTTTCTACAACAGAAGCCGAGAGCCCAGTAGAGGAACCTCCACCTCCCGTCGGCTCCTCACTCATTTTTGCTTTTCCTATATGCCTTGAGCGTCAGTGAAGTACGTTTGGTAAGCCGCATAACATAATGTGCCTTTGCCTTTGTCCGTATCTTTCTGCTTATTATCATTCTGGGTAGACTATTTGACAATCAGCCCCACGGCATACGGTCTCGAGCAAATTTTTTCACTCACGGAACCTGATCCGGAGGGCCTATGGCCATTGGCGGCTCCATTCACATTCGGCTTCGAAGTTGGGTCTGATTTTGTCTGCGACTGCGCGCCCTGTTGATTAGTAGCATGACTGTTGAGTTCGAACACCTCGATTAAAATCCTCTCCAACTCGTCGTCTGCATCAGCGGAGGTCAGGCCAGCGCGCCTGCCCTCCGCTGCGCTCCTCGCACGCTCACGAGCCTCGAATATCCTGAGGAGGGTGGGTATCTTAAGTTGCTCACCCTCCTCATAGGTTATTCGGCTCGTCCGCTTGCACAGAAGCTTGTATGCAGGCAAGAGAAGCAATTTATCGATCTTGTGTTTGTCGTACGTAGTGATTTTCTCAATGGGTTCTATGTCGAGCTTCTCGAGCTCATCGATGGCGAGCTTCTGCATATCTAGGAATTGCCACCTTGTCGAGAGCTCCAGTATGGTGAGCCAATGCTCTTTTGGTTCACTCAGGCTTCCGCGTCTGTACGAGCTGACAGGGATCAATGACGATGCCTGCGAGATATGATAATTCAAATCGATGCTTACGGACTATACCAGACCCATAAAAATTTCGTAAAATCGGCGGCGGTGACTTCATCGAGTCGAAGCGCGTTAGTATCAGTAGTTCCCCCCTGAGGAGCCTTTGCAAATTCCTGCAAGAAGAATTGCGACTCGCGTTCGAAGAAGTGTCGGTGGACACGAAATAGAGTCCCTTCAACCTGCTCGCACATGGCGATCAGCGCGAATGAGGCAAACAAAAGTTGTGGCGTACGTGGAAGGTGATATTACCATCTTTAAGATAGTATTGAGGGTGACAGTTCATTCGGGGCACGCCGTTCTGAGAACCGCGTGCCATAATTGATACGAGTGCAGATGATAGTTGTGTGCGAGGATGGTTTCAAAACTGATCGAAATTCGCGGGAATGATACGGCCATTTTATGTGCGACTCGAGCGCTTGAAGGGTCAAAACAACACTGTGACTCGCTTGAAGATGTACCGGGACGATCCGCTGGAGCTGCCGTATTCCTAGGATTTAGAAGCCTCATGTTGGTTGTTTCGGGCAAGTGCACTCGGGAAGGAAAGGCGAATTGTGACCGGTTCCAAGGCCAGGACCATCGATGGGCTAAATGAAGCCTGATACTACAATAGTACAGCATTTCGAGTGAATCCAGTGCATATGACACCCGCAAATCGAAGTCTGATAAATCAAAGATAAGACAGCCTGAACATGAGGCGGTCATGTGCGTTCTAATCCAATTCAATTGCTGCGGAGAGCTAGAACTATTGCCTCGAAGAGACACACTGATAGTTAGTTTTTCCAATATGAATGTTGTAAGAGGCTAGTCAGAGATGCGGCAGCGAGTACGTATGTGTCCTGTCCAACCTTCTGGAACAATACTCGTTACTGCCCGTAGGCAGTGCGGGCATAGCGTATAGAGAGACCAACCAGCAAAGAGAATCTGCATCCCTGGCGTTCTAAAGCTGAGACCATCAAGAGCATTACATGAGAGGTTTAATTTCTGAAGCCGTAGTTAGGGCTTATCATTCAAATGAAGAGCTCCTTGTGTCTACCAAATCGCCAGTAGTTTTTACACCGGACTTTGGTACACTCAAGGAGCTCTAAACAGGCGTGAAAATATGATTGAAGTCGCTGAGCGACGGAACGCGAGAGAAATTTGATATTGAAAACGGTACAGTACCACCGGCAACGCCCGAAAGACTTGCTTACACAGCACTGTGACCACAACTTGAAAACTACGATCAAATTTGCCAGTACTTGTCACTGCTTGTTTGCATCATCGGTACTCATTTGTCCCTGCTCATTGTATCAACCGCCATTATGCGTACTCATTTGCACCTGCTTGTTTTTTCGTTCATACTTGCCCCTTCTTGTTGCAGATTGTCTGTACTAGAAGCTATCGACAATATACCAATGAACTTTACTAGCGTTCTTTCGATGAAACAAAGCCAGCAAACTCTCGAAGCTTTCCCACAATTCGATCATATTTGCAGGGAACACAACATTCAAAATTATTTCGGCCTAAATGGATGATCGTTTAGCGTTTTTAATGACAATTCTGGTATCGTCGATAACTCGCCTCGTTGTCCAACCCTTCAATGCTGACTTTATCATGTGTTTCGCTTCGCTGGATTTTTTTTGAAGATGGGAGAACACTGTAGGATGAACACCAGCTTTTACATCCTGCATATGCTTATGAGCACGATTCTGATCGATTTGGCAGAATTGTTCTCGCTGCCACATGGCAGAAACTGCAAAAACATATTCAATTGATTACGACCCTTGAATCTTAAAGCATCTCCGCGAATCGCAACCGCGGAATGCTCGCTCGAATCACCGGTCTTCTCATTCCAATCTCTCGCTCATAGCTTCATTATTTGAACCCGCAGTGAGCCTGCGAACACAGTGACAAAGTCGAGAAGCTGATTTTCATTCTCTACGATACTTCTGGTTTGTACTCGGTCGATGTCTCACATCAATTTCCCCTCACTGACTCATTGCTCCCTTGTATGCAGTACCTGCAATTTGCCTGTGCTCTCAGTAGGCCAGCTGACCCTGCAACTACGCAGAGTGTCTTTCGGAAATTGATACTGTTCATTCTTGGTCAAAGATCCCTGATACAGTAGTCATGGTCACAGTCATCACCGCTCCCCCTAAGTTTTAGATAATCACGATGATATCAAATCATTCCATGGCATACTCCGATGACCCTATACTTCCTTAAAGACAAGGAACTGTGTTGACGGAATTGGTGACTATCGACCAACGCTCTTCCAAGCTCCTCTTCCTCGTCAACCATCCTTTGTATCCCATCCAACACTCGCTCGATGAAGAGAACCACTCTCGAGCTCCCATGCTCACCCTTTGGGGGCAATTACCGCGCAGGCAGTAACTTCAACTTTGTCGCCACCTTTTCCCCTCGTCATAACGCTAACAACAATGGTCATTCCTTCTCAGACTTGAGGACCACGAGCAAAAATAGGCACGGTCGAACATTTTCAGATAAATTCACATATCTACATTTCTTGAGCGGTACGAAAATTTGTCCAAAGCAACTGTATCGATTGGCTGCGAACCAGGTATTGCACCATCAACCACGATAACAGGGTGAAAGCAGAAACATGACTCACTGTTGCGACGTGCCACTCGGGCTGCTGGCTACTATATGCAGATGAAACCTTTATTCTAAGGCGCGCAGGTGAGTCACGTCGTCGAATCCTGGTCACACAGCAACCTGCTCATACTCACAGAAACATAGTGGCACGTCAAGCCACCGCAGCAATCATGGGATGATCCGCAAGGTTCAAAGCTGCATGCACTGACGAACATAGGTGCTGTCAAAGCAACAACAATGAGGGAGAGACGCATTTTCTGTGCGAGGTTATACGGTTCTTGCAGGATATCTCTGAGGATGAATATCATAGGACAACGGCCAGCTTTTATACCATCCATATACTAATGTGCGCGATTCTGATTGCTTTGGTAGAATTGTTATTGCTGTCAGATTGCAGAAATTTCGGCAGAACCTGTAGGAGCGGGGCTCTATTGATTCCGACCATGCCACATTGTATCATAACCCGATGGCATATCTCACTCATCGCTTCATCATTTGAACCTGCAGTGACCCTGCACAGCGACGAAATTGAGAAGTTGACACTCACTTTCGTCGATACGAAGTTCCAATATGTACTCGTTATTATTTTTCTCTCACTTGCTCCCTGATATATAGTACTTGCAATTTGTCTGTCTCAATTGTAGGTCAGTGACCCTGCAACTGCTGTGCAGAGATAACGAACATCAGCAAACTACAATGCTTTGTATAGAGATTAGTATAGTGCATAAGTTGGTCTCTACTAGCTAGTTCATCCCAGCAGCTCCTTATTTTGTGGATATCTGTATAGATGCCGCTCACAGACCACCCAGTAAATACCCAATATTGTTGAACTGCAAATTTTTTCACTGTTTATGTATGTACAGACATTCAGAGCACTCAGAAAGCAAGAATTGTGCACACATCCTCTGAACTGGACCGAACCGGACCACAGCGTTGGATGCGAAGGACCGGAAACAACCGGACCGTCCTTTTCATCACATGACCCTATACTTCCTTGAACCCCGTGACGTTGACGAAATTACTAGTGACTACCAACCAACGCTCTTCCAAGCTGATCTTCCTCATGAACCGTCCCTTGTACCCAATCCAACACTTGCTCGATGAAGAGAACCATTCTCGAGCTCCCACGCTTACCATTTGATGTCAATTACCGCGCAGGCAGTGATATTATCCCCTTTAACTTTGTCGCCACCTTTTTCACATTTATCGTAACGCCAACAGTAATGGTCGCTCGTTCTGACAGCTCTCAGACTCGAGCCTAGTGGACCACGAGCAACATGACCGTTCTGAACCGTTCGCAAGGATGTGGTTTTGGGTTCGACTATTTTTTTGAATCGGGCTATGGTTCAATTCTCAGCTTTCGTGCAGCACCCTAAGAATTGGACTGAACCCGACCACGCCAGCACTACATGCTAAAGCGCGCAGGTGAGTCATTTCATTGAATACTGCTTGCATAACGACCTGCTCATACTCACGTTAGTATTGGCACAAAGCAATTCATCTTCATCGCAGTAATCATCATCTCCTGGACTTGCCGTTGACATGATCTGAATCCGACAGTGCTGATGCATGCTACTCGGATAGAGTTCCGCCATATATGTCACATATGATACAATATTGGTATGCACTAAGACGTTCTTTCCGGACCTCATTTTACTTCTTCCTGGTTTTCGTCTTCATCTCTCTCTGTGCTCCAGATCTCACCGATGAAACTTAAGATCGAATTGTAGTTTCGATAAACAGGCTTCTCGCTTCATGGTGCGAGGTGCGATATGGCTGGTTTCTGTTATTGAAACAAGTTTAATGTTTGAATTCCATCCGACCTCAGGCCTCAGTACTACATCCGATGACGCATTGATATGAGCCGGAGCATACCCGGATCAACATGCTTTGATTCAGGGCCTGGCCAAGAGGTCCACCGGCCCTGTCCAGCATGAGGCTTTACATGGCTCCTTATTCGCATCGCTTGTCGTCAACCCTTATACTATTTTTACAGGATCGTGACATCAGACGGGTTGTGATCGCACCATTATGTTATCTCTACGGCCGAGCAGGGCCTCGATAGCAAGGATCTCATCACAGACAAGCGAGTCAGCCGAGACGATATCGACTCAATTGGATATAGATCATGAATTTGACTCACCTTGTACGCTACGCGTTCTGCTATATATATAGCACACTGGCGAGCACTTCTTATCAATAACAATATCCCTCGCAGAGCCTTCATTTATTTTTACATCTGCAGCGATTTTTCACATCTCTGTCATCGCCCCAGACCCTGCGGAAGGAGATGCGGTGGTGAGTCAGAATTCAACGGAGATGCTTGTCAGTGGTTCCTTGAGGTAAAATTAGTGCCCATTCGATTGGACGCGGGTTTGACTACTAGCCAGGAAACAGTGTGGCGGGTGCAGAGAAATCAAGGTACGGGAAATGTTGCAGCTGGAAGACGCTTGGAGTAAGCAGCGAGGGTACAGTCTAGATCGACTCACGTCCAGGTGAAACGGTGCTCGACTGGACTTTAAATTCTCACTGGCTGTTGGAGCTTCAAGCGTGAAAGTTTATTCAACAGCGTATCATTGCAAACTACATAGGCTGTGCAAAATCAAGACACCTGGTATTATACAGAGATAACAACATATGAGAATACTGCTGTCATGACGGATTGGATGAACGTTGGAAGGTACAAATTGATCAGAATGCGCTCCACTTTCCTCTGCAACAGAAACCGAGAGCCCAGTGGAGGAATCTTCACCTCCCATCGGCTCCTCACTCATAGTTGCCTTGCCTATATGCCTTGAGCGTCAGTGAAGTCTATTTAGTCAGTCGCATAACATACTTTACTTTGTCCGCATCTTTCTGCTGCTTATTACCATTCTGGGTCAGTGGGTAGACTATTTGTCAATCAGCCCTATGACATACAGTCTCGAGCAATTTTTTTTTCACTTACGGAACCTGATCCAGACGGCCTATGGCCATTGGCGGCTCCATTCACATTCGGCGTCGAAGTTGCGTCTGATCTTGCCTGCGACTGCGCGCCCTGTTGATTAGTGGTACGACTGTTGAGTTCGAACACATCAATCAAAACATTTTCCAACTCCTCGTCGTCTGCATCAGCGGAGGTCAGGCCAGCGCGCCTGCCCGCCGCTGCGCTCCTCGCACGCTCACGAGCCTCGAATATCCTGAGGAGGGTGGGTATCTTAAGTTGCTCACCCTCCTCATCGGTTATTCGGGTCGTCCGCTTGCACAGGAGCTTGTATGCAGGCAACAGAAGCAATTTGTCGATATTGTGTCTGTTGTACGTGGTGATTTTCTCAATGGGTTCTATATCGAGCTTCTCGAGCTCATCGATGGCAAGCTTCTTCAAATCTAGGAATTGCCACCTTGTCGAGAGCTCCAGTATGGTGAGCCAATGCTCTTTTGGTTCACTCAGGCTTCCGCGTCTATACGAGCTGTGACATGGATCAATGACGATGCCTGCGAGATATGATAATTCAAATCGATGCTTACGGACTATACCAGACCCATAAAAATTTCGTAAAGTCGGCGGCGGTCACTCCATCGAGTCGAAACGCGCTGGTATCGGAAGTTCCCCCCTGAGGAGCCCTTGCAAATTCCTGAATGAAAAATTGCGACTCGCGCTCAAAGAAGTGTCGGTGGACACGAAATAGAGTCCCTTCAACCTGCTCCCACATGGCGATCAGCACGAGTGAGACGCACAAAAGTTGTGGCGTACGAGGAAGTTGATATTACCATCTCTAAGATAGTATTCAGGATGAAAGTTCACTCGGAACATGCCGTTCTGAGAACGGTGTGCCATGGTTGATATGAGGGAGATGATAGTTGTGTGCAAGGATAGTTTCAAAACTGATCGAAATTCGCGGGAATGATGCGGCCATTTTATGTGCGACTTGAGCGCTTGAAGAGTCAAAACAACACTGTGACTCGCTTGAAGATGTACCGGGACGATCCGCTGGAACTGCCGTATTCCTAGGATTTAGAAGCCTCGTGTTCGTTGTTTCGAGCAAGTGACTTGGGAAGGAAAGGCGAATTGTGACCCGTTCCGTGGCCAGGACCATCGATGGGCTCAATGAAGCCTGATACTACGATAGCACAGCATTTCAAGTGAATCCAGTGCACATGACGCCCACAAATCGAAGACTGATAAATGAAAGATAAGACAACTTGAACACGAGGCGTTCATGTGAGTTCTCATCTGATTCAATTGCTGCGGAGAGCTAGAACTATTGCCCTGAAGGAACATGCTGATCGTTTTTCCAATATGAAGATCGTAAGAGGCGAGTCAGCGATGCGGCAGCGGGTACGTATGTGTCCTGTTCAATCTTCTAGAACAGTACTCGCTGCCGCCCGCAGGCAGTGCAGGCATAGCGTATGGAGATACAAACCAGCAAAGAGAATCGGCATCCCTGGTGTTCTAAAGCTGAGACCATCAAGGGCATTGCATGAGAGGTTTAACTCCTGAAGCTGTAGTTAGCGCTTATCATTCAAATGAAGAGCTCCTTGTGGCTACCACATCGCCAGTAACTTTTACATGGGACTCTGGTACACTCAAGGAGCTCTGAGCAGGCGTGAAAATATGATTGAAGTCGCTGAGCGACGGAACGCTGATATTGAAAACGGTACAGTACCACCGGCAGCAAATTTGCTAGTACTTGTCATTGCTTGTTTGCACATTAATCCTGTCTGATATCTCTGAAGATGAGAGAACACTAACCAGCTTTTATATCCCGCATATGCTTATGAGCACGATTCTGATCGATTTGGCAGAATTGTTCTTGCTGCGACATGGCAGAAATTTCTGCAGAAACTGCAAAAACATATTCAATTGATTGAATCTTAAACTGTCTGCAAGCATCTCCGCGAATCGCAACCGCGGAATGCTCGCTCGAATCACCGGTCTTCTCATCCCAATCTCTCGCTCATAGCTTCATTATTTGAACCCGCAGTGACCCTGTGAGCACAGTGACAAAATCGAGAAGCTGATTTTCATTCTCTTCGATACTTCCGGTTTGTACTCGGTCGATATCTCACATCAATTTCCCCTCACTGACTCATTGCTCCCTTGTATGCAGTACCTGCAATTTGCCTGTGCTATCAGTAGGCCAGCTGAACCTGCAACTGCTGCGCAGAGATAATCTTTCGACGATATCAAGTCATTCCATAGCATACCCCGATGCCTATACTTCCTTAAAGACAAGGAACTACGTTAACGGAATTAGTGACTATCGGCCGACGCTCATCCAAGCTCCTCTTCCTCGTTAACTGTCCTGTATACCCCATCCAACACTCGCTCGACGAAGAGAACCACTCTCGAGCTCCCACGCTTACCCTTTGGGGGCAATTACCGCGCAGGCAGTAACTTTAAGTCGCCGCCTTTTTTCCTCGTCGTAACGCTAACAACAATGGTCGTTTCTTTCGATAGCTTCTCAGACTTGAGCTTAGTGGACCACGAGCAAAACTAGACACGGTCGATCACTTTCAGATAAATTCAAATATCTACATTTCTCGAGCGGTACGAAAATTTGCCCAAAGCAACTATATCGATTGACTGCGAACCAGGTATTGCACCATCAACCACGATAGCAAGGTGAAAGCAGAAACATGACTCACTGTTGCGACGTGCCACTCGGGCTGCCAGCTGAATTTTCAACTGGCTACTATATGCAGATGAAACCGTTACCCTAAGGCGCGCAGGTGAGTCATGTCATTGAATCCTGGTCACACAGCAACCTGCTCATACTCACAGCAACATAGCGGCACGTCAAGCCACCGCAGCAACCAGTGTCTGATTTGCAAGGTTCAAAGCTGCATGCACTGACGAACATAGGTGCTGTCAAAGCAACAACAATGAGGGAGAGACGCATTTTCTGTGCGAGGTTATACGGTTCTTGCAGGATATCTCTGAGGATGAGGGAATATTATAGGACAACGACCAGCTTTTATACCATCCATATACTAATGTGCGCGATTCTGATTGCTTTGGTAGAATTGTTATTGCTGTCAGATTGCAGAAATTTCGGCAGAACCTGTAGGAGCGGGCTCTATTGATTACGACCATGCCACATTGTATCATAACCTGATGGTATATCTCACTCATTCATCGGTTCATCATTTGAACCTGCAGTGACCCTGCACAGCGACGAAATTGAGAAGTTGACACTCATTTTCATCGATACGAAGTTCCAATATGTACTTGTTGTTGTTTTTCTCTTGCTTGCTCCCTGATATATAGGTTGGATGCGAAGGTCCGGAAACGGTCGGACCGTCCTTTTCATCACATGACCCCATACTTCCTTGAACTCCGTGACGTTGACGAAATTACTAGTGACTACCAACCAACGCTCTTCCAAGTTTATCTTCCTCATGAACCATCCCTTGTACCCAATCCAACACTTGCTCGATGAAGAGAACCACTCTCGAGCACCCATGCTTACCCTTTGATGTCAATTACCGCGCACGCAATGATATTATCCCCTTTAACTCTGTCGCACCTTTTTTCACATTCATCGTAACGCCAACAGCAATGGTCGCTTCTTCCGATAGCCTTTCTCAGACTCGAGCTTAGTGGACCACGAGCAAAACTAAACACGGTCGATCGTTTTCAAATTAATTTCAAACATTCACATCGCTCGAGCAATACGAAAATATGTCTAAAGCAGCTGTATTCATTGGCTCCGAACTAGGTTTTGCATCATGAAACGTGATAACAAGGTGAAAGCAGAAACATGACTCACTGTCGTGACGTGCCACTCGTGCTGCCAGCTGGACTTTCAACCGACTACTACAGGCAGATGAATCCCTCACCCTAAGGCGCGCAGGTGAGTCATGTCGTTGAATCCTGGTCGCACAGCGACCTGCTCATACTCACGGGATCATAGACACACTTCCAGTTACTGCAGCAATTACTTTGTGATTCGCAAGATTCTACAGCGCCTTTACATGCACTGACAAACATAGGTGCTGTCAAAGCGACGACGACGGCGACGAGGGAGAAGCGCATTTTCTGTGTGAGGTGATATAGAATCTTCTGAGGGGGATATCTCTGCAGATGAGGAAATGTTATAGGAAAACGGCCAGCTTTTATATCATATCATTCATATACTAATGGGAATGATTCTTATTGTTTTGATTTTTATTGCTGTCAGATTGCAGAAATTTCGGGCATGAGCGGGCTCCCATGCCACATTGTATCATAACTCAATGTCTGGCTCGCTCATCGCTTCATCATTTGAACCTGCAGTGACCGTGCACAACGACGAAATGGAGAAGCTGACGTTCATTTTCATCGATACTCCCGATATGTACTCGTTGTCATTTTTCTCTCACTCACTCAATATAGTACCTGCAATTCGGCTCTGCCAATCGTCCAGTAACCCTGCAACTGCTGCGTAGATATAATAAGGTACCTTTTGGAAATTGATACTCAATTCTCATTCTTGGTATTCGATTTGTTAAACATATCTGTGTGTGCTGTGGCCCAATATTCACAGCTCCCTCTGAAGTTTTGGATGATCACGACTATGTCAAGTTATTCCATGGTATACCCTGATGACTACGCACTTCCTCGGAGACAAGGACCAGTGTTGACGACACTGGTGACTATTCCTAGTGAAAATTGACAATAAAGAGGTAGATGGGTAGCAATAGACGTCTGAGTACAAACCGAGGTAGATACTAGATAGGAATCTAAGACAATCGAAACGAACAACTCGAGTTGGGTTGTAGCCTTCATAGTCGGTTATCCCGTTGAGTCTTCGTAGGTTTGTGTTTTCACATCCAGTGGTGTGCCTTCTTGGGACTATGTATAGACGCACTTGAATCATTGATTGCCTTTTAACCTGCTTTCACCCTTATTGAATGTTCGTGCTGGATCGATGTGTCTCTGAATTTATTGATACTGTATAAGTGATACGGATGTCCTGTGAATATCTCCCTAATCTGTACTTGCGATTTCTATTTGACCGCCTTGTTAAGCTCTTCACGTCCTATGCAGTTCTACATCAGGGAGTTATTCAACTCACGCCGACAGCAACACTTCTCTTCAGTCTGGCGCTTCGATAGCATATTGCAGAGTGTATAACTGAACAAGAATATGGAGACTATGGTATCATACAAAGTAGATGGCTAGTGCTGCGGTAACTGACTCGATGAATGCTGGAATGATGAGATAAACAAGTACACGCTCCACTGTCTGCTCCGTGAATTTTGTCGAGCGGACAGCCGAGTAATCTTAAGCTTCGTCATGCGCCGAATTTCTTCCCCTACATTTCTCCAGCATCAGTGGATTACGTTTAGCGAGTCGGATTACATACCGATCCTCCAGTTTTGTTGTCTTTCGGTTTATTCTCATTCTAAGATTATCTTCAATCAGCCACACAGCACACTCGACCAAGCCGAATAATTTTACTTACCGAACCTGATGTAGACGTCTTTGCACCATTGGGGCCTCCATTCGCACGCGGCCCCGGAGTGTTTATGATTGGCACTTCGTCTGGTTTTCCTGACGGCTGCGTGCCCTGTCGGTTAGCGTTGTGACCCTTAAGACCGAATACATCGATCAATATCCTTTCCAACTCCTCATCGTCCGCATCAGCGGAGGTCGGACTACGACACCCGCCCTCCGCTGCGCTCCTGATCGCACGCTCGCGAGCCTCTTGTATCCCGAGGACAGTGTGCAGTTTGAGCTGTTCACCCTCCACGATGGACATTCGGCCCGCCCGCTTGCACAGGAGCTTATATGCGGGTAAGAGAAGGGATTTGTCGATTTGATATCTGTCGTAGGTGGTGATCTTCTCAATAGGTTCAATGTCCAATTTCTGGAGCTCGTCGACAGCTAGCTTCTTCATCTCTGGGAATTGCCATACTGTCGAGAGCTCCAGGATGGTGAGCCAGTGATCTTTCGGTTTGTGTTCGCGCCTGTACGAGCTGTGTGCAGTTATTAGTGACGATGCGTGCGGGATGATGATGGTTTAAATGGATGCTTACGGACTATACCAGACCCATAAGAATTTTGCGAAGTCGTCGACGGTTACTTTCTCGAGTCGAAACGCGCTGGAATCGGAAGTTCCCTCCTTGGGAGCCCTTTCAAATTCCTTCACGAAAAATTGCGATTCGACTTCGAAGAAGTGTCTATGTACACGGAATAGTGTGTCTGCAACCTGCTCCCATGTGATGATCAGCACGACAGAGACATAGAACAGGTGTGGCGTACTAGAAAAGTGATATTACCATCTCTCAGATAGTATTCCGAATGGTGGTTTACCGGGGAAACGCCATTATTGGAACGATTTGCCATGGTGCAGATAGGTTGTGGGTGAGAGTGGTTTTGAAAATGGTCGGAGATCGCGGCCACGACGCGGCCTTTTATGTGCGACTCTGGCGCTTGAAGAACCAAACAGCCACTGTAATTCAATCCAGGGATGATCCGCTAGAACACGCACCAACTCGCGTGATCCCAGGATTGGAAGCCTCGTGTTCGTCGACCTGGAGAAGCGTTGGGAAAGAAAGGCGACTTTGGACCACCATCGATAGAGTTCGATGGAGCTTGATACAACAATCGCACAGCATTTTACGCGAATCCAGTGCATACGACGCCTACAAATCGAAGTTCGATAACTGAAAGATAAGAGAGCTTGAACACGAGGCAATCAGGTACATTCTGATTCATTCAATTGCTGTGGGGCTAGAACGGTTGCCCAGAAGAGACACCCCCCAGAAACAATTACCGTGTCGTAAGAGGCGAGTAAGAAATACAGCAAGGATCCATGCATTTCACAAGAACCGAGCTCCACATACATAACCGCTGCTTCCATTAGGGTACAACACACGGAGATCAAGAAAGAGTGATAATTTGCATCTCTGGCGCTTTGAGATTGATAGCATTAGATTCAAGGAAAAGGCCCGAACAAGCCGCGATCTTGTCATGAGCTCCTTGTATTTACCAAACCGCGACAAAGTCACCATTTAGTTGTATGACAAAATACAAGAAACTCAGGTGCGACTGATGTGAGTGTGGTGATCAGAACAATGAACTTTAACGCGATCAAGGGTGTCGGATGATAGTTTGAAAATTACCCTGCTTACGTATACACAGCATCTCGGCTCACTACACTATGTACACAGTGCACACTGCACACCGACTCGGATGTCCTCGGATTATTTTGCAGGATTTCTATGCGGCCAACATGCAAATCTTCGAACTGCGGCTTTGCTTCTGACACGATTGTCGGCTAATTAGCATGTGTCATATTGGACAATTTGGTGCTCGCTGCTGTCGGTGGATCTAACAACGCTGTCCTTGTATTTTGCTTGTATGTTACAGTATGTACATGGACTCACAACTCCTCGCCATTAGCTCATCCCTACAATTGCTTTCGACGTATCTCATTCTACGGGAAACGGTTCAACACACCTTCGCGTTAACGCTCGTCCCGAGCATGTTCGACAACGGGCAGAGTGTAACGGATATGCCTTCCATCTGCTAGTGTTCTCATCCTTCACCTATAGCACCCAACTTCGAGAACAAAATATGAAGATACCTCAGGCATATATAGCCGCTTTCGTCGAGATATTGTGTGGTGCGTTTTCTACTACATTTCAAGATGTATATATCTAAAGTGGAGGTATCCAGCATTTACGAGCCGTTCAAATTAGCTTCAAACCTCACGAAGGCGTGCATAGGCATTCAATATTTAGCCAGCTCCCAGAAGTCCTGCTGAAGTGCCTCTAGCGGGTAATGAAGCGCATATACCCTTTCCGAATGTCCAAAATACAAGGGACAACACGCATGCATCCTGCTTTCTAGGATATGGCGCATATATTCAACCCTCTAACGCATGTCGTATGCATATATGGCTAGGGTCCTCGCTGTATAGGGTCCCTCGCTGTATATGCACACAACATCCTGCTAGTATTCCTTTGGAGCGACCAACCACTAAATTGACAACGCAGACGCATCCATATCTCATCAAAGCTCCAACGCTGATGCACGTGCTCGACACAACTATGTCCTTCGTCTACGGGATGTCATCAATCCTCTAACTACTCCCAAATGTCGCGCAACACCATACGCTCGAGCCTTGTCTATAATCACAGGTACTTCACGGCGGACCTCCCCCGCTGGTCTCGCACCTTCTGAGAGGTGCACGCAGCCATCCTGACTGGTACCTTGTTATTCATTTTACTTACGTGATTCGTTAAGAACATGATTGAAAGGCTTTGTATTTTCTGACGACGTATATGTAGTCTTGACGTGTGCTGATGATCATGTCAAAGTGAATAGTACGCCACCATGCTTCAGTGTGGATTGACTATTGATTGTACAGATACGCTGCTCATCGAGCTCGAGTGTAGAACTTATTGCTGTGGAGATGATCTTGCGTCAGAGAATGTGGGGAGGGCCGTGACGAAGTGTAGTGAAGGTGGCGTCTCTCCAGGTATGACTCTCATGGCAGTTGCTGAAGCACAAGGTCGACAAAGGGAACGCCTGTGCTGCGGAACTTCTGAGGAACTTCGATTTCTAGTCTCCATTCAGCACGTTAAACATTGAACGCAATGACTTCTCGCCTACCTGAGCGAGCGATTCGAAGGTCACATGAAAGGGAGTCGAAGAAGGCAAGTGGATCGTTATGCTTCATTGAAACTAGAGAACCAACCCTCCCAGCTGAAGAATGACAATACCATTGGATAGTCCATCACCCTTACTTCGATCTTCTATCTCTGCCAATCGAGATCATACCCTGGATGGTAGAGTACTCGGAAATTCCCCACCATCCAGAACCCATTTACCGTGATTGATACAAGCGTTAAAAATGCTTGTGATTTCAAATGCAGTTGAATCTAGCGTAAACACGTTCAGCGATGTTCGGGGTGATCAGCCAGAACATGGACTCACTCTAGGATCGAAAGCCTTGTGTTCGTTGATTCGGACAAAGCGTACTTGAGAAGGGAAGGGGGATTGCCAGCCTTTTCTTGGCCTGAAATGGGGCCTGATATCTACAGCATTTAACGCTCATCCAGTGTTCAAGACGCCTACAAATCAAAAGTCAAAGATAAGGTAGCCTATACACCAACCGGTCATACGCAGTCTGGTCCACTGCTCGTGGAGATACACTGACAATATTAATGTTGCCAGTACAAAGTTACGAATGAAATTTGTGGGAGGCAATCGAGTAGACATTCAGCGAGTATGTATCACAATATTTTCCATGAGTTATGACCATAGGAATACTGCGTGACATACTCACTGCCTCCATCAGGCACAACATAGTTGTAAACAGATGAGCGAAGAGGATCTGCATCCCTGGCGCTCTGACACCGGGGAGAGGTATGAGTATTTTGCTGAGTGAAGCCCGTAACTTTTCGAGCTCGCTGTGGCTACCAAATCACCGCAAATGATTATAATTATAATTGTTTGTATATTGGCAGAGACAAGGTGTTTGGGGAAAATATCAAGCAGCGCGGTGGTCAACGTTGGATGCAAAAGAGTCGATCATAACAAGTTGAACATGACAGTTTCAACCAGAAGGTACCGGCAACGCCCGATGGCAATTTCGACCGTTCCTTTTCGGATTCGAGCGCTACTTCGACGCATTGCGAGAAACAATATTACAGATGGCCCTCCCGTCAATAAAACCTCGTGTCGCGACTCTGATCGACAGGAAGAGTGTTATGCACATTTCTGATAAGTTTTTTGCTGTCTTCCCCCACCTATCCCAAAAACTTACTTACAACTTGAACATTCAGTTACTGCAATAGCCCGAGACACAATATGAAGACGCCTCTAGCATAGTCAACAGTTGTGGCCTGGCACTCGTATGCCAAACCTCTGTATCCCTCTGCACAGCGCGTTAGATATTCAAGTTCATCCTTCACAATGACTTCTCGGCGTCGCCCACCCGAGCGAGCGATTCAAACACGGAGAGTCTAAGAATGAAGGTGGATTGTTATGCCCCAGTGAAAGCAAATGGTAGGTGATAACTATACAATGCTCAAGCGCTCATAATCACTCTTTGACATCTCACAGGCAGTCTACATAGTCAAAGCTTTGCAGACCAGTACGTGAACAGAACGCCTCATTTCGAATGGCATGATCGCAGGATAGTTCACCTATGTGTAACATCGACTGACATGCCTTTGCTTAATCGAGTAATCAATATTTCCCTCCCGATTCAGAAGCTCTCATTTGTCTTCATATCTTTCATTGCTGCAGATCCGCTAATGGTAATTTTAGTAGATGCTTCCCACTCCTGAGCTCGTGACGCAGTTCCTGAATGTCAGGCCGTCAAACTCATCATACATTGCAGTAGATATGCCCACTCGAGCATATGATGAGTTTGACGACTACTAGTTAGCGTACAATCTGGTGAGCTGTTGAGACTGCAGTCATTTTGGCGGGTTGCACATGCCTTCTTCACATATCTTCCCCGCCCGCGAGCCCCTGACTTTCTTCCGAACCGCTGTGGCTGCAGGGTCATACTGACAGACTTTTCCAAAGGGAAGTAGATTGGTGTGATGCTCACATGTGTTCGTAAACTTTCCAGTACTATTCTTTTTGCATGTACATTTACATTTCACTCCTAGATTACATACGAGTATATAACTAGATTTTATGGTAGTCACATTTCAATGGAAACGTCCGTGTTCAAGTCAAGCGTCAGCTTGGGCTGTTCGGGCTGTTCGAACTTCATACTCTCACTTCCGATTACAACAGTGCTTCATCAGGTAAGTTAGCATGCCCTGTGACATCAATGAAACAAAACTACAAATGCGGAATAAACCTAGTCCAAGCTACTGTATCGTATACGCCAGTAGGTAGTGATTGTAAGCTCAGAATTATGAGTACAATTAGCGTAATACGTGCAGTAATATATATGAGAGCGGCAATCTGTCCAGCATTGAATCCGAATATCATCATCAAAAACCTCCCTCTGTGCATGAGTGACAGGGTATCAAGCGAAATAATTACTGGTGCACATATTACCAAAATGGAGGTTGCGCGCCATAATGTGCTCTGCGTGGCTGTGAAAAAGTAATTCCAACCGAGACAGTGTATCCCTCCAAACATCATCCCACTGAAACATCCAATGAGAAGTATGATCTTACCAACACGATACCTAGTCAGTAGGTCCCCGTCGTGGTTAAAGTTGTACCTTTTGTAGCCACCTAGATATGGCGCACGACGATAACGGGCAGCATGGGGGGAAGGGCTTGCTGCAATGCCCATGAGACAGACAAAGGGATGAAAGATATGACTCATAATCCGCTGATGGCTAGAGTCTCTATTGCAAGAATGCGGACGAATCAGAATAATTTCAGGCAACGATATTGACAACGTACTTCTCATAGTCTAATCGGCCTGGTGGAGCTGCAGTTGCTTTCAGATGAACAATATAAGGACGTCCTACATCCTTAGGCTTCTTCCACCACAAAGCATAAGGAACGCAGGTCAAGGCAGCTACTGCCAGAGTGTCGATTTCAAGCAGGGTTATCGGAAGATTCTGGATGTAACGAGCCACAAGCTGTGTGACGAACCACACTAACTGAAGAACGGCGATGCCTTTGGATAGTCCATCACCCTTACTTCGATCTTCTATCTCTGCCTCTGTGATGACTGGCATGTCCACGGATCCCCTACGAACAAACTCCATGAGTTCATCGGGAGTAAGAGTAGCTCGCGGCATGCCATCAACGTAGAGTATAAATCCACCCATCCATGCAAAGAACCCATGGGTTATTGTCCATTCTATGAAAGGATTAGTTACATCTTAGTCCTGCATAACTGAAGAGTCCAAGCATATGACTGACGTTTAAACTCTACATAGCGGCCAGGAGCGCCTGAACTTCTATCCGCTTCTGAAACGTCACCGGCTAACATAGCCGGGCTCTCTGATATATCTTGATCCTTGCCGTGGGTCGTGGCACTTTGTGCACTAAACGCGTCATTAAAGTCCTCTCCAGCTTCAGGGAGGGTGACATGAAACTGCCGCGTGGCCCATGTGATCATGAGTTCTGGGGAAATCAATGCTGTGACCATGACTAACCACCGTAGATGTCCTCCCTGATATAACTCGATCAGCGCCGTGGGTCGTGGCACTTTGTGCACTAAACGCGTCATTGACGTCCTCTGCAGCTTCATGGAGGGTGACATGGCCATTTAAAAACTGCCGCGTATTCCATGTGATCATGAGTTCTGGGGAAATCAACGCTGTGACTATGACTGACCACCGTAGATGCGCTCCCTGGTATAACTCGATCAGCGCCGTGGGTCGCGTCACGTTGTACTATTATAATAAACCCGTTGTCCCTAAAGTCCTTTGCAGCATCACGAGCGCTGAAAAACTGCCGCGTAGCCCATGTAATCATGAGTTCTGGGGCGATCAACGCTATGACCATGATGAATAGACGACGAGAAGTAATGGCAATTTTGCCCTCGTCCATACCCGGGATGTTCGGATGGACGGCAGTCCATGTGCAGGCAAATAAGGTTAAGCCACAGCTCAAGATAATGTCCCACAAGGATCTGGTGTTGCAGAACGGACAGTTGCTGGCATCGAGTATATGGGGACTGGTGTTGTTGAGACTGGGGAGTGAAGCGTAAACAAAAGGAACGCATAAGAGAACAGCGCAGGGAAGGAGGGTCATCATGATGGTGAAGTTGAGGACATGGCACCTGTTCATCCTGCTCTCTCAGTTTTTAAGGAACGGTCACTGGGTTGATGCCGTACCGTATTCATCGATGGCAGTGAACTGATACACAGGACTGCACTGCCCGGTGCCGAGCGCTCCCCACAGGCGATTTACGAAGTGGCTAAGGCCGCTTGCCAACACAAAGTTACAATATGAAATTTGTGAGAAGCAAATAGAGATTCAGGAATGAGCGTTTCACTGAGTTGGCAGACTCGGAAGCCGTGACTGGTTGTCAAAGTAAGGAACTTGCTGTGTCTACCGAACCACCACAAATGATCATCGATATTGTTCGGTGTGGGCAGAGACAAGGAGTTCGGATGTGAGAAGACCAAGCAGCGTGGTGGTCAGAATAGTAGTATGATTGATCAAGATGCAAGCTAGCGCTCAACAGCAAAGGTCTAAAGCATGACCTGTCTGGAACGTCTCGGAAGTTCCCTGGTTTCAGTGTTTTCTGTTTAGATTATCACGAGCATTCTACCTACTGAGTATTTAGTCTCGCCCGTATGTAAATGTGTCTTTAGAATTTCTCTCAATCAAACTATAGCTAGGCTGGTATCCAGTTATCATTGCGCGGAACGTTCCATGTACTTCTGCCGCCGCATCTAAAAAACAACTTCTACCTGCCGTCACAGTAAGTACCAGTGTCCGGCAACGCCCGCAGTAATTAATTCTCAAGTTTCAACTTGAACTTTGTTCCAACTGTACGCATCTTGCAAGATGCATGCAGGCATGAGGCTGTACATGTATGCATGCGGATTTAAATGTGAGTACTGATACCAAATATTCCAGTACAATGTTCGACGGAGACTTACTAATTATTTTGCATAGAGACCCGTTGCCTTTCATCGTATCAATAACATGTAGCTACCTCAGCAGGTTTCGTGAACAATGAACATGCTTCATCTCTGCAACGATTCATTATGTGAATACCTTCTCCTTAGCGATGGGCGAGATCTTGATACTAAACGAAGGGCTTTTGTGCACCAAGGTACGCCAAATGTACCCTTGGCCTTGTGTTGGGCATGCCGATAGATGTATATATAACGCAGCTTCAACACTTTCAAATTATCACAAGCTCACAGAACGTAACATAACCAACTTCCACTGCAGGCCTTTGGCTGACCTTCCTTCTCCGACAGATGCCCAAAGAAATCACATATAGCGAGAGCTCAGTTCTTATACAAAGTTCCAAATCACAAGAAACCGACGAACACTCATGCGAGGATATGCCACCCCAATGGCAGCCCCCACCGAGGCCAATAGCGAGGCGCTGTTTCATTATCCTTTGCTATATTTTTGTGGCAGACTCGAACCTTGAAAGTTTTTGGAAGAGAATCAGTAGAGACTCCTCAAAGGGCTGGAAAGACTATCATGCCGAATATTTTGAGTTCCTTAACCGCATAAGCACTGTGGTAAGTGGTACTATACGGTCATCGGGTTGACCAAATTCTAAATGACTCACCAGCAAGGACTGCTGCTCACAACGACAGCTGTCTTCATCTCAACCGCCGCCCCGTTATCTATCCTAAATTATGCTGCGGACATTCCATACGCATGTTTGTCTGAGTCGCTTGTCTTTGCTTTGTTCGGGCTGTTCCTGCAATTGTTTGTTTCTGCCTACTTGGGACCACGATATAAACGCGCAAAAACATTGGAGGTGAGTAACCCCCTGTTAAAACTACATATTCCCAGTGAATGTACCTATGAAACTTAGGAACTCGAAGAGAAACGCTGGATGATCTTTTGTCACCTTTTCAATTTAGCTCTCCCAGCTCTTTTCTTTAATGCTTCTTTAGGTTGGCTCTTAAAGGGTGCGATTTTGACTGTTTGCTTGAAACGATGATGGCACTGATACCTTTATGTTTTCAGCTATTGTGATCACCGGGTGCATGTCACAATCACTCCTAACCCGTATTCTCACGATCATCACCGTCTTTGCTCGGGTCTTGGTGGAATTTCTGTCCTTCGTGATTCTACCTCCATTTCGAAAATTTTGGGCAGCGTCATTATGGGGTATTCACCATGACAGACATTGAGGATACGGGACGGTTCTATCGCTTCATTCAGCCTCTTTACGATATGCGCGCTCATTTCTGTCTTTGACAGTTTTACTACGACCATGATATTAGCATGCCCTCCCGATGTATATTTCTTATATCACATTCACTCGTGTATATTTCTTCCGTCCATTGTACTCGTGTATATTTATCTGCCATAATCTCGATCAGATTCACGTTTTCGGCTCAGTTTTGCGCATGACTTTCGTTCTTGTCCAGGAAAATGGTGCTAATGCTTCCACAAACTCCCAGCTGACGACAGGTGATTCAACTTTGAATGGTCATCCCACTCGAGCAAGCCATATCCCTGGACACCCTTTGGACTTGGACTCCGCTTTACTCTCTCCCAGACGCGGCATGACACCAAACACTGACGTATCGTAACAGCGCTCAATTTCTCCGCCAGTCTGTGGCATATTCTACCACTGCACATTCCTATCTGTATATGTGTTCCTTGTCAAACAAGTACGTGCAATGTCAAGGTTTGCACGTTGACCTCGGCTGTACCTGACAGAATGCCAAATATTCCCGTACCTTTTAAAGTGGCTAGAGGATGGAAGACCGGATACACTCAGCGGTAATAAGGTTAGTACAGACCAGCAAGAACGGTTGGGAATACTGTGTCAGCTGAAGATAAGAGCACGCAGAATCAAACAGGACACGCGAGCAATACGAGCATGCTGTCAACACAACAGTCGTGAAGGGTAAAATTCTTCCTGCATCGAGCAGCTTTTGTCAACGATGATTGGCATGAATGGGTGATTGGAGTCTGTTGTCCATTTTGCTCGTGTGAACTGGGCATTTCATGCTTGCATCGAACTTCGCCATTTCTGACTTGGGTGGTGTCTGCAAAGCACTGACACGAATCTGGGCATACACTGCACCCACCATTAGTGATGTGCGGGCCCGGCTCGGCCTGAAAGCCCCGGCTTAGGCCCGGCTTTGGGGGGCTTGGGCTTTGCAAAAGCTCAGGCCGAGCCGTGAGCCCAAGCCAGGCCAAAGCCGTGGCTCGGCTTGGGCTCAACGACGGCTTTCAAGAACAAAATGATCTGAAATTCAATCTAAGCATATGTGTAACGATGAGATACTAAAAGAACTTCATGAACCGTGTAGGCATGGATGTTGGTATCGTGGGTCTGCCTGTGAGTATGTCTTTGTGCACATGGAAGTACTTGACGTGCGCGAAGATGAGCGTGCTGTTGTGTTCACCTGTGACCGGGTGCGTGATGTCTATCGATTGGTAGAGCTGTTGAGAGGCGATGTTGTCAGCGAGCGAGCGGGCTAGGCGTGAAATGGAATTACCTCGCATTCAATGCTAAAAGCGCTTTCCTTGACGCGTGAGGCTCTTATTTGCACCTGAACACGTCGTCGTTAGCGGATATATCGTATCATAAACGTGCACGCGTACTGAGTTTTCTCCGTGAAGCGCTTGAGGAATTCGTCATAGATGCCTTCTTGCAGGAAGATACGCAAACCTGCACAACACGTCTGACCGTGGTTCCAGCTGGTGAAATATGAGTGTAGTTTGCATGACAACACGGTATACTCACAAGATACCGAATGCAGCCCAGTTGAGATTTCACTGTTCCCAGATGTGAATGGCACATCTCACCACTCGGTCGGTCCTACTTCGTCAACCACAATATTCGGACCACGTCATGAAAGAAACCAAAGCCAGAACGTCTGGCAGGAAGCTTGATGCCAGAGTATATCATCGAGGGTCACTTCAACTGCATATGGAGCCACATAGTACAGTAACTTATACCCATACTGTAGAGATACGACACTAGGTTCGTCACGTGCAGCCCGTGACGATGTCACGCTTAGTCTTACAGGTTCGAATGTCCAGGTGACCTGTGACCTTACCCAAATAGATTCGCCTGCGGATCGTAGTGCTTCGCCGCTCGCAACGCCGTTTGCAACCATCTGACATGCTGCTTCGTGATTCAAGCAACTTGCTTCAGTCTGTCATGGATTCGCCTCGCATAGCGCTGACTGGTAACGAGTGGAATTGGAGATTCGTGAGCCTCGCAAGTCGAGAGGCGTTGCAATATTTACGTGATGTTCAGAAGAATGATCCAGCTGGATGGACGAGGATTGCTACTGCTCAGTACAAGACTGTCAGCGTTGACCAGGCAACAAACTCCGAGTCAGAGAACGAGGCCACTGATACTACCGGAGCCGAATCCCCCTTCGTGTTACGACAAGCGGTCGTGTGCGACTAGGATGATCTAAACAGCGACAACCACGACAGTGGTACCAAGTGCTGAGAGTCGTCGGCCTTTACAAACAAGCAAAGGTTGCGTACTCAAACGTAGCTCGTGGTGGTTAACGAGGGGTTACGCTGAGATGATAGCAGGGTTTACAGACAGTGAGAGGCGTCACTGAAGGTACGAGTCGATGTCGAGCAGGTAGCTTTAGCGGGACAAGGAGTTCAAGGATAAAGCTAGTTGATTAGACTAGTTTCTGGGTAGTACCTAGTAAGATTAAAGTAAGGAACGTCTACTTTAATCTTCGACCTTATATAAGGCTACTCTATCGTATCTAAGCTCAGCTCGAAGCTGGGTTCTAATCTGCTTATCTACATGAGTCAGAGATAGCGTCCATGAGGCGGGCTTCTATCGTAGATAGCGTCCATGCGGTACGCTTCCATCAGAGATAGGATCCACGTGGTATCCTTCTATCGTTATCTAAGGCAGCACGAGGCTTGCCTTCTATCTTCTATCAGTCCATGAGGCAACACGAGGCTTGCCTTCTATCTTGATAACATTAATAGGTCTTCTAGACCTATGTCGTCATGTATTGTCACGTGCGGTCCAGACCGCTTATCTAAGCCGGCAGTTGCCGCTTATCGTCATCGTCATCTGTCATCATCTGTCGTCACAGAGCCAGTGATGCTCCGGTATCGTCTATAGAGCTGGTGAGGCTCCGTTGTCGTCTATAGCCGTGCGGGTGGCAGAGGGCTCTCTGCTGGCGGGGGACTCGTGCCATGTTACTGTAACACTTCGACGATGCTAGCGAGCATGACCTCGATGCCAGTGACGTGCCAATGGATGCACTCCTTGATCATATGGCTTCCGGGGGTGAACACGTCCGTTCTGACTGCCGTATCGATGCAGATGGCGGACTTCTGTGTTCAAACCACTCCGAAGTCTATGATGTGGGTGACATTACTGCCAAAGATGTGGAGAGTGGCTCGAATAGTGTTCCGAAGGTTGATTACGGGCGTGGAAAGCGTAGACGCATCGCAAATTCGATGTATGATGATTTCTGGTCCCATTAGCGCATAACCTATGTTTTTTTTCCCATATGTCACAAATTAGCTTCGTCCCACCAAAAATTCATGTGACAGTCACACCAAATAGATTCGATTCGTTAAGGGCTGTGACCTGTGACGAACCTAGTGTCGTATCTCTACAGTATTAGACGGACAGCTGAGGGTGACAATGTAGCAATAGAGGCAGGCCAGCCCATGTGGGCCCATGGCAACAATTGTACCATGGTAGACGAGTGGGCTGCAGGGTTGTGTGTACCTGTTGCAAACGGATGGGCCGGTGGTATATAGTGTAGATGGTAGTATAGGAATGTACTATATAGGATATCTATGTAAATAGTAGTGAATGCAATGAGCTATGGAGACGAGTGGGCCAGCTGAATGGTGTGCAATGTAAATGAGTGGGCCAGGGAGATGGGTATGATGGGGACGAGTGGGCCGGGGGTAGGGGTGCAATGGAGACAGGTGGGCCGGGGGTATGGGGTGCAATTGAGACGGGTGGGCCGGTATGCGAAGTACAATAGAGACGAGTGGGCCGGTATGTGAAGTACAATGGAAGACGAGTGGGCCGGGGGTACCGGGTGCAATGGAGACGAGTGGGCCGGTATGTGAAGCACAATGGAAGACGAGTGGGCCAGGGGTATGGGGTATAATGGGAGACGAGTGGGCCGGGGGTACTGGGTGAAATGGAGACAGGTGGGCCTCATGATATTCCACCCGGTGGACAATGGAAATATTTGCCAGTATGGATGATACAGATGAGCCGGAAGAGCGTTGTGGGACAGAGGTGAAGGTGAGATGGATGATACAGATGAGCCGGAAGAGCATTGTGGGACAGAGGTGAAGGTGAGATGGATGATACAGATGAGCCGGACTTCCGGTGTGCGAGAGGTGAAGGTGAAATGGATGATACAGATGAGCCGGACGTCCGCTGTCCGATAGAGGTGAAGGTGAAATGGATGATACAGATGTGCCGGACGTCCGGTGTGCGAGAGGTGAAGGTGAGATGGATGATACAGATGAGCCGGACTTCCGGTGTGCGAGAGGTGAAGGTGAGATGGATGATACAGATGAGCCGGACGTCCGCTGTGTGATTGAGTGAAATGGATGATACACATGAGCCGGAAGGGCGTTGTGTGATATACGATGATGGAAATACCATCCGGTATAGCAACATTCTCACTACTGAAATGCAGGTTGTGCGATTATATGATGCATTGTCTTCAACATTGAAAGCACCAGAGCTTGACAACACAATGTAGACAACTAGTACATACGAAAACATGAATGATATAGACTAGTATTATGTCGGCCCGTCACCAGAAGGCTTGCTTGGATACCTAGCACTCACTGACTGACCTTGGTGTGATAGAGGTCCAAATCGCGGGCGTGGCAAAGGAGCTGAGACGGACTGGGCATCAGCCGGCACATTTGATGGCCCGGCGACCGGGAGAATAGGAGATTGCACAGGTGGTGCACCAACTGGAGGAACAGATGGGCCGGATTCCCTCATGGTCAGTGAAGGGATGATGGTGGAATTGGATGGCACCCGGTTGTGCCTTGTGACCGGTGATCCATCTGCAGTATCACCCAACATATCACCACCGGTCTGGGCACCCATCCAAGAGACATCTGGAGTGAACACATTGTTGGTCACAGTGCGAGCAAACGCACTGATAGATGGGTCGTGGGCTGTCACAGGGGGTGGATTAAATGCCGGTGGAGTTGATGCTGTCGCCTGAGTAGATCTTTGCTCCCTCAGATACCTGACAATACCTCTTACCTCAGCCGTGCACTCAGCAAGGAGTCCCTTCTGCACACGCATATTCCGCCCTATGTCATCAATCTGCATGGACATGGCGCTATCAGATGCCTCGGCGATGTCCATGCGATTCTCCAAGCGATCATGCCGGACGTCAATTTCCATTTGATCATGTGTGCGCAGTTCCTCCATCTCGATGCGAATTTGGGCCAACATGGCCTCCATCTTGTCATGAGAGAGAGGGTATTGGGTGGAATGACCGGGTCCAGAAGGAGAGACAGGGGAGGGATGGTTGAAATTGACCGGTAACGGCGAGAACCGGATATTGTCCTCTGAGGCCATGGCCGGTGATGAAGGTGGCATCTCATCATTGCCGGGCTCCACCCAATGATCAGGAGGGAAATCGTGTGGGGATGCCAAAGGGGCCAGTTGTTGTGCAGAACTGCTGGCAGCAACCATCTGGACATCATCGACATTGTCCTCCTCTTTGATAGGACTTGGGTGCCGGATATCCTTGCCTACAAGAATACATCAGAATGGACAAGTAACCGGAAACAAAAGACTTGCCTTTCGCCTTGGATTTCCCACTCATCTTCTCTCCGGTGGCTTTGGACCAGATGGTCTTGGAGCGAGTGGCTACTGTGACTGCAGGTGGTGCAGTGACGGTGATGGGGGTAATGGTGTTGGAAGAGGTGGTGGGTGCGCTCTCTGTGTTAGTCCAGATGCATGCCATCTTCCACAGATAGCACAATGAGCAAGTCGAGGCGATCTCGCCTTTCTTCGTCCATCGGGGGAAACACTCAACATTCTTGGCCAGACATCTATCACAAGGCGGATGGGGTTCATCAACGCGGGGCTATGGAGAATTAGTATGGTAAAGCATGGCATTGACCGGAAGACACACCGGTTCTGGCACTTTGCCCTTCTTGCCGGTGGCCTTGCCCTTGGGCTGCATGGACTATTCAATAATGTTAGCGTTGTATATCACCTGTGCTATGACAAGCAAATCCTACCAGTTTTTGCCGTTTCCCTGGTCTGACAGTGGCCTGCATCCTGATGAGCGATAGACCGGTAAATGTGAAGTAAAATAATGAACTTGCCTTTGGCCTGCCTTGTGTATCATCATCCTCATCCTCCAATTCATCCTTTTCATCGTCCTGAATCACAACCCGCTGACTTGCCTTCGATGCACTGCCCTTCTTTTTGACAACAATTACAGCCTGATGAGTTGATTTCCGGGGCTGCTTGTTGCATTAGTAATGTTGAATATCTCAAGAAACAAACTCGCCTCAACGTCCGGAAGATCATCCACATCGATCCCCTCACCATCCTCATTGCCATCATCTTCCGGTGCCTTTGCCTTCCCCTTCCCCTTCCCCTTCTCCTTCCCCTTCCCCTTCCCCTTCCCCTTCCCCTTTGCCTTTGCCTTTGCCTTTGCCTTTGCCTTTGCCTTTGCCTTTGCCTTTGCCTTTGCCTTTGCCTTTGCCTTTGCCTTGTCATTGTCGGTAGTGTCAGTGTCAGACAAAATTGCCTTTGACTTTGGTGCAGGCTTCCGGGCCCGGTTGACACGGGGCAAAGGGGGGCTGCTGAGCCGGCGTTTCCGGTTTGTTGATGTCCTGGCTGTTGCTGTCCCACCGGGTGGCACATCTTTAGGTATGCAAATGCTGATGTGTGGTGCTGGTTCTGGTGCAGAGGCTGGTGCTGGTACAGGAACAGGTACCGGTGGTGGGGCAGGTACTGGTGGTGGAGCAGGTACCGGTGGTGGGGCAGGTACCGGTGCAGGAGTAGGTATCGGTGCAGGCACCGGTATCGGTGCAGGAGCAGGTACCAGAGCAGGTGCAGGTGCAGGTGCAGATGCAGGAGCTAGTGCAGTCACAGGTGTGAGTACAGGTTGCATGAGGAGGAATATACTTACCAGTAGCTGCAGGTGAAGCAGGCGGCGCATGACCCAATGTCTTACTGTACAATGGATGCTTCATGCACATATCCTGATTGTTACCAAGATGGTTCCAATCCAGGACTACCATCAATTGTGAGGTGCGCCTCTGAGTGCGAAAGATCTCAGCTGCAAGTGACAGCAGGCCAGGGGGAACATATGAAGCGTCCCTCCCATATGAACAAATCGCGACATTCTGGGACCCTAGTATCAATACAGGCAACCGACAGGACAACAAACATACCACTTCGCGAGCAATCTCGTGGCTCAACTCCATTTTCTCGTCCTGAGACTGCGACCGGAGAACATCTTGAACCATCTCATTGAGCCGGGCGACAAGAGCAATGAGAGCCTGGTTGGCAGCCACAGCAGAAGCAGATTGAGAAGACATGATAGTGAGACGATTACAATAGAGCTAGTGGACAAGTCACCCGGAAGAGACGTGTAAAACAACAACACTTATAAAATTTTCAATCACCGGCTAGCCGGGCCGACTCGGACATATCCGAGTCCATTGTTCGCCTCATTGTTGTCAGTCTATTTTTAGATATAAATGTCTCATTGTTGACACGTCATCAGTAATCAATTGTTGCCAACCAACCTGTGAGTACATCATCTGGTCACAGCCTTCTGTAGAACATTGATTCTTCCGGTGATATCATGAAGACCGTGGATTTGTACGACCCATTCCAGAAGAAAAGAAGGATGCGATCATCAGCGATTGCTCAGCATAATCTACATGTATCTAGTGAGGATGTAGGTAAGAAACCATCACCTCCCACAACGTACCGGTTCATATTATCCGGCATTCCAGTTCATAGCATCTTGGAGCCAGGGAGAGAGGAGCGCACTTACTACAACCCTTTCATGGTTTGTTCAAGCATGGGCGAATGTGAGTTCATCTCATGCTAAGCGATGGTAAGGACAATTGATATGAATTTTAAAGATCTAGATGTCCTGTCAGCCCATGACGGGTTGCAAGATGGTAAAAGATTGAAGATGGTGAACTCTGAACTGGCAGATGATGACTGGTCATTGGACCTGGGATTTCCTTCGTCAGATTATGACCGGATGACCGACAACCACGACCAACAACAATCAGACATGTTGGATATGCAATTTCCCACCTTGTCTGATGATGACCGGTCAAATGGTGAGATGTTGGACTTGGGATTTCCTCCACAGCTGGACGATGAAGATGTGCTCGATTTGGGGTTTGATATTGACCTCTGTGATCCGGCCGGCAACACAGGCATGTCGCTGGAATCTACATCTCATAAACTGACACTCATTTGAAACAATATTTGACTAGAAGACAGGGCTCTTGACATGGGCTTCGACACATATCTGGCAGATGATTCGCTTGATAAAGGGAATAATATTTCACCGGAAGAACACCCTTTAGAGATGGGTTTCGAGATGGATCCGGTGCGTGTTGATCCGGATCAGTCTTGTAAGCCTTCTTGCTGTTCCCGAGATTGTTCTGATCATTTAAACTTAGTCACCGTCAGTCGACAGGATCCCGTTGGATATGTAATTCAATGGGCTGTAGGTGATTTGCGCGAGGCAATGCACCAGTTGCAGATGGACTGGGCTGGTAATGCAATGTCGCCGGACGAAGCCTTTGCTAGAGAGCAAGTTCTTGACTGTACACAAGAGTTATTGTTGGCATGTCAACTGATGTCGATATCTCGACTTTCAACGTGAAGTATATATTTATAGTCAAATGCTATCTACACCTATCACTAGAATACTTGCTTACAACGATCCAAATTACTACGATTGCATATACTGAGCTTTATAAGAGGCCTTTGTACTTCTATGAGAGCACTTTGGCTCTGGATTGGTTGTCTGTGCTTCAGATGCTTTGGCTTTCTTGCCGGAGTCCCTTCTTGGGGCAGGGGGTGTTGGTTTGGGCACCGGTGCTTTGTTAGTTTTATTCTTGGCATGGACACCTGATGTAGGGCCAAATGCATGACTTCTAGAAAGATGTTGCGAAGGCAGAGGATCATTGTCATCATTACCGGTTGATTGTGCAGAACCGGTGCTGGTGTTGTCTTCTGCCTGTCCCCTTCCACTTGCAGTCAGCTTTTATTTCTTGACTGGTGGCGGACCATCCGACTCCAAATCAGATTGAATGGGAACAACCCTACCCCTCTTTTGGGATGATTTTGATTTAGGTGGTGGTGGGACCGGTATGGATTTCTTGACCGGTGGGCGAGTATCTTCCTCCTCTGAAGCCGGATGAGTGCTGCGGACCGTATTGGTCCGTTTTGCCTTTGAAGGTGGTGGTGGGACCGGTATGGATTTCTTGACCGGTGGGCGAGTATCTTCCTCCTCTGATGCCGGACTAGTGCTGTGGACCGTATTGGCCCATTTTGCCTTTGAAGGTGGTGGTGGGACAGGTATGGATTTCTTGACCGGTGGGTGATTGTTGATAGATTTCGACTTTGGAAGTGGTGATTGGAGGTTGTCATCGTGATAGTGATCGTCGTCCTTCTCCTCATCTTCATCATCCTTGTCCTTATCCTCACTACTAGACACCTGTTCCACCCCCCTGGTGTGCCTTACGGTGGACTTTTTCACTGGAACCCTGGGTCTCGCATCAGAACTATTGCCGGAGATTATCTCTGCTGGTTCTCTCATTGTCTTATCATCGCCTTCCCAGCCTTTAAATTCAAAGGTTGGGCGAACCTGGTCCTTCTGTCTTTGACACCACAACTCTAACAGCCGGTCAGCATCAGCCAGCCGAATCTTTGACGGATCGTCAAGCTTCCAGCCGGTAGGTAAAAAATTGGCTGCAATAAAGTCACCCTGAGCCATCCTGACTGAGGCCCAAGGAACAGACGCCTTTGGTTGTTGGCTGCACAATCCTGAAAAATAGCTGGTCAGCGGATCAACTCTCCAGATGCATCATTTGTGAAACTGACTGTAGTGTTTTGTGAGGAAAGTTCTTATAAGACGCTTTTTGCTCTCTAGGTTAAGCTCTGTGACGTCCGGTATGACCGGCAGCCCATAGCTATCCACCTCCAAAGGATAATCGTCCTTCTTTCCACCTTTCTTCCTGCTCTTCTTCACCTCCTCTTCGTTATCATCGTCATCATTATTCAGGTCAACGTCTGGTATCACCCCAGGTCAGATAAGTACTTGACTGAATAGCGCAAGATTTTCAAACAGAAGCTCACCGAACTCTTCCCCAGCATAGGCATTCCACTCCGATAACATGGACTTCCAGTCCTTCGTATCGGTCAAACTATTGCCCTCCAACTTTTCATTGAAGTCAATTCTTTCAACCGGATCAGTATATCTTTACCGGTTGAGTGTGAAGTGGAACTCACCCATTGATCCGGACTTCGTCTTCCTCTGTTTTCCATGCTGACAATATGAAAATTCTCACACCGGCCTGCTTCCACAACTTTGTTGCCAGATCCTTCATCATACCGGGTGCTTTCTTCTTTGCAAAGTCCGCCTGGACAGCTGCAGGAGGAGCCTTGGCAGACCACTCAATTGCAGTGTTCTGAGCCTCCTCCAGCTCCTCTTTAGATAGACTGGCCACGACTGCAGTGAGTGTTGTCTGATATCTTTCAATAAATTTCTTCGATCCTGGCATCGCTCCGGTCTTTTCAATGATCTCCTCCTTGCACAGTTGTTCTATGACCGACCAGGAAGTCCATTTCTGACCGAACTTGCTGGCTTTCTTTTCTCGAGTCTTTTCAGGTCTCCGGTTATATAACCAGTCCCGGTACATCTTGATACATCATGATATAAGTCGGTCATCATGTATAAATTTAAAGTTCTACTGCTCACATATTTCCTGTTCTTCAATGACCGGTCATCCATAGCAGGGGCATGCACCTTGGCCTCTTTTATGACGGCCTTCAGAATCTTTTTTCTATCGTTGGCAGCTGCTTCCTTCCATTCTTCTAGGTGGGATTTCAAGACCAGCATCTCTTCATCGGTTAATTTCTTCTGCTTGGTTTTTTTTGGGCTATCGACTGATGAGTTGGACCGGGGCATGGCAAAGTAGTTGAGGAGCAGTGGACGTCTTGATAGAAGAAAGGATGCATGTGTATCTCACAGTAATAGGTTACATAACCGATGTACGTGACTGCAAACCGAACAAAGGATTGTCCAATACTCGTTCATTGGTATGATTCCCTCAACATCCTATGTGTTTCTGATTCATAAAATGTAGAACTGTAAAAGCATATGGACTTAGACCTGTATTATATAGTATATGGGCAGCATACAGCCCTCAAATACTGGATACCGCCCTGTGCAATCATATTCCACAACTTGCTCAAGTAAGTATAATCACAAATGACTTTGAAGGCCAGCATGAATGTGGACATTAACAGCCGGTGTCCTGAAGATCAAACCAGAAGCCTGTTTGTCTCTAGAGTTGGTTATTTGGTTTGAACTGTTCTCTCAGAGCATGTTTTGCAATGCCAGTGTCCTTGACTAAAGTTTAATCAATGTATTTACTTTGCCAGACTCGTCAATCATCTAATCGAAAGAAGTATATATTGCTGCCGAACCCTCTTAATCACCTGAATTATTGTTCTACAGCCAACACTCCAGAACGCTGGCTAGAAAGAAGTATTTAAACATTGAAATGTAACCTCCAGTCGACGTACTTTATCCAGTCAATTGTCATGTAACTTGAACATGAAATCCATGCGACTCGGGTTAATGGCAGGATTACGGTGTTTGTGATGTCATGCAACTATGGCAATCTCAGTGACTCCAACCTTAATATATCCCATACAGGTGACATTGCAAGATCTTCGGTGAGATCACAGGAACAATGTGGTAATCCCGACCGGTCAAACCATTCAGAGTCTGGACAACACCGGATCAATTGGTCCCTTGATGACTGGGTCGTTCAATGACTAAGAAGGGAAAATGTGGTAATCTCGACGGTTCAAATCACCCGGAAACCGGAATTGATGGAAGGCACCACAGTGAAGTCATGTGCTAGGCTACCAGTCATCAAGTTTACAGCACACCGATCCTTTCCAGTCAATATGGCAAATACCAAACAAAAGGGAATCACATACACCCCTCCTATGAAGAAACGATTACCTCAGCTGTATAAGCTCAAGGAAAAAACTACAACCAGGGGATCGAGGTCATCTTGGGTGAAAGATTCATGGGCTAGGAAAACAAAGTCGGTAACATCATCACCAACAAAATCACCCTCGAAGCATAAATCTGGGTCGCCTCACTTGCTCTATGAAGGTGCTGACTTTGAGTTTGACCAAGGTAACATCCCCCAGCCTAAATTTCCGAAATCCCAGGCAAGCAACAGTTATCTTCATTTCCCTAGTCTGACCGGACCATACAGAGTCAGAATGCATATCTCCGGCAATGGAAATGCAAGTTCAAGGACTACATAAATTCACTCATGATCAGAGAAGCCCCACCAGCCAACCGACTTTGCTCAGTCTGCAAGAAGGATGGGGTGTATAGATGTCATGGCTGTTTCAATGAGCCACTCTTTTGCACAGACTGTTGCAGAATTCAACATCAAAGACATCCATTCCATCGCATCAGTCAATGGACCGGATCATTTTTTCAAGAAACTTCACTCATTAAAGTTGGCCTGCACATTCACCTTGCTCACGACGGCACTCCATGTCCCAGCAGCACCGATGACTCATCAGACTTTTTTCAGTGGTCAGATACCGATGACAATATAGATGACGATTATCCAGAAGGACCTTTCATTCAACCGGTCAGAGACTCAGATCGTCTGGCAATAACTGTAGTAGACAAGTCCGGCGTTCACTCCCTTTCCATATGTTATTGCCAATGCCCCGGTGCTCTCAGCCGAGACATACAGCTCTTTCAAGCAGGCTTGTTTCCGGTGTCTTTCACCAGACCAAAAACTGCATTCACATTCGCTGTCTTGGACGACTTTCTGTTAGACAATCTCGAGTGCGGTACATTGGCCATGAATTACTACAGCAAAATTCGCAGACTCACCTCTAGCATCTTTCCACTGATGGTTCCGGTGAGCTGGGTTTTATTCTGTACTTCACATTCTGGTCATTAAAGAACAATATCTGTAGGATCGCTATAGAGAGCTCATGAGAGCTGCCAGGCAGTGGCGACAATGCAAGCTCTACAAGTGGCATGGATTTGCCCACAAAGATGACCAGCCAAAGGATGGTGATCTTGCCCTATTTTGTCCGGCATGTCTGCAACCGGGTATAAACTTGGACCTGTCTACTGGTACAGTCGCCCAGCCCGACGATACACCTTCCTGGCTCATGACTAGGTATTTGGTCATGCATGGCAATTTCAAAGCCGAGCACATGCATCCGGTGAATCCATCCAATGAAGTATCATTAATGGATGGTCTGGGGTTCATGGTCTCCAATGAAAGATACAAGAGCCATTTGGCCATTGCTCAAGACAATGTCCAAAGGTCAGATTGCAATAATCACTGGGCAGTAAATCAAGCAAACGCCTCGCGGCAAAGGCTGGAAGCCACCGGTATAGGAGGATGTGCATGTGCATGGCATGGATGTTTTGTCCCACATTCCATGGTCGACTTTCAGAAAGGCGAAAGGTCAGTACATATTGCATCCGGTCACATCAATGGATGATCTTACAACTCTTATGTGGAATAATCAGGCAGATGAACATGGACTATGCATTAAGTCAAGCTCTCAACTATAAGACCAATGGAATCTCTCGAGCCATCACTTTCTACGACATAGATTGTCAGTATAACAAGTATTTGAAGGACCGGATCGCTTCCAGCATGTATCTTTCCATCCCCATAGGTATGGATATCATTCCTGGAATCGGTTTGTGGCATGTACATGGACATCAAGACAACTGCTTTGTCCGGTATGCATCAAATTTTATCCATGGGACCAGCCGGATAGACGGAGAGATCATGGAAACCCTCTGGGCACCTTTGAATATAATATCTCCATCGGCCAGGGGCATGGGAACTCTCCATCGCAAGGAGGTATTGGATTATCAGATGAATGATTGTAATTTCATGAAAATGATTCGTATAAGTAAGTCACCCACCTCCAGATGTGCGTGTGTTGTTGGCGCTCATACAATTCATGTCCGGATGGCACCTCCGGTAGCTAAGTTTCTGTCCAGAAAATTGAAAGAGGCCATCAAGGGGGCTTCGGAAAGCAAACTTGCTTTTGATAATCTTAACGAGACCGCCAACCCCGACATGGTAGTTCTTTGGAAGGCAGAAGAGGCATTGGCTCATGCAAACAGAGCAGAGGATCCTATGGCTATGGACATCTATGAGGTCCGGTTGGAAAGGGGCAAGTGTCCACTTTTATTGGCTGTCCGGTAGGTCTGATCATGAGGTCGTGCAGCGCCAACAAAGAAACAGCAGGAATTGCGCCTGTTGCAGGCTCAAAATCGCCCTGAACATCCGGTCATCAACCCTCCCGGTCAACGAGGAGCCGCCACTTGGCTCGCAACCGGTCTTACCATAGAGGAATCCCAAATATCTCTCTGCAAGGATGTGAGAAGTTTGCGAATGCACCCAATGGACATGCAACTGTTGAGAGTGGCTCGATGCCGGGATAAGCTTCACACTCAGATCATGAGCTTTCTTGAGATGTCACCTACTTATCTCAGAGTCGGAGTCAATGTCAATGACCCAGATTGTCCAGTTACTGTTTGTAATTCACTCGATGATTGTGAAGATTACTCCGATTTTGACGAAG